TCACCAGTGTTATGCTTTCAGTAAGAAAATCTTCCTTTTGAGTCTTATCTGTTGCTACTAACCTACCAAAGAGGGCCAGCATTGACACACCTGGACTATTCCCATCATCACGAGACAGTACTTGAATCTGGTTGATTGAAAGTTAACACGAAAAATGTCTGACTTAACTAGAGGAGCGTGTGCCATCTGCTGTTCTGATAAAACTAATCGGGGGTCTTTGACCATACACCGGTCAGTGTACGCTAGTGCGTGTGTACAGTTAGTAAGGAACGTCTTGGCGACTTACAATTATTGTTCTTGTTTTAGAAGTTACCGGTTATGTGATTAACATAGGTAAGAAATCATATTTCAGATCCTTAATTATCCACTTCTTCATTGTTGTCATCATCATCAGCTGCCGTCATCATTAATTAGTAAATCCTCAACAGAACTACGCTCTCGTCATATCACGCGTGAAGGTCTCTCTTTTTCTAGCAAATTCTTCTGCCCTGTGTACTTTCATAGCCAATACATCTTCAGTGTTTTGTTTCAGCGTTCACGGATGTCTGCCTCTACGTCGTTTTCCGAGAACTGTACCCGCCAGCACCGTTATTTCCAGCTTATCACGATATTTAACATGGCAAAAGATGCCTCGTCTTTTGCTACAGGATGCTGTTTATGAGCCGATTCTCCTTTGTGTTCAGATCATGCAGGATGTTGTTGTTTTCAGCTGTACTCACTATCTCTATCTGTCATGTTTAGGGTGGTTTAAGACAGGAAGGGTAATACTAAGGCCTAGTACAATCGCCAGTGACTGTGAATGTATAGACATTTCGTCTCTCCTTTAAACTACGGCCGGTAGACAACAGTAGACGGCCGGTAAGTCAGAGTTCTGTCCCCTTGCTGCCGTGCAATTACGGAGTGGGAAGGAGGGAACGAAACAAATGACATAATTACTGTGTGTTGGCGATAGACAGCGAGCACTGTCCTGCTATAGTCATACGGTTTGGGTTATTAGGGGTAGGGAAGGGGTAGGGTTTAGGGGTAGGTTTAGGGTAACGCCTGTAACGTCGAGTACTAACCCATAATGACGGCCGCTATGTCTGTTAATTTTGAGACAGGAGTTCCAAATAATGGCCGAAAATGTGCTGCTTGTGGCAGTGGCGCCATTGAAATTCTGCTAAATGTGAAGGAAATAGCGCCCGGCTAGTGACCAATTGGTGCCGAATTTTGCGTTTGTCGACGTCACTTTGTTTTGTGATTCGTGCCTTTTCCACTCCGTAATTGCACTGTAGCCAAGGGACTGAACTCCGACTTACCGGCCGTCTACTGTTGTCTACTGGCCGTAGTTTAAAGGAGAGCCGACATTTCTGTTTCTTCCCATCACTTTAACGAGCACTCGGAGTCGATTCTCCCTAATGAGGGCTTACAAGTTCTAACTGATCGACCAGACTCTTTTCGATGATCATCCTCTAAATGGTCACAATCTCCATTATCTATATAATCATCACCGTCGTCGTTATCGCTATCGCCGTCATCGCTTTCGTAGAAATCGTGGCTGTTGTCATCCTCATCTTTATTGCTGTCATCCTCGTCATCAGTAAAGATGTTATAGTTATTATTATCTTTATCGTCAGCGTAATTATCATCTTCATCGTTATCGTCGTCGTCATTATCAGCAACATCATCATCAACATCATACTTATTATCACCGTGATCACGATCTTCAATAATCACCATAATCATCACCATAATCATCACCATCATCATCAACATCATCATCAACATCTGTCTCATCATAAACATCAGCAGCAGCATCATCATCACCATCATCGTCGTCACCATGATTGTCATCACGATTATCATCATCAACATCTTTTTTCGTGACCAATATCATCATTAACATAATCGTCATCAACACCACATTCATCTTTGTCACCATCATTACCATCAATATAGTCGTCATCTTCAACATCATCAGCAGCAACAACATCATCGTCGTCATCAGCATCATCGTTATCATCATTATCATCAACGTCAGTGTCGCTATAATCAACATTACCATCATCTTCATCATCAACAAGAACATCATTATGATCATCATAATCTTCTTCATCAGCATCATCATCAACAACATCATCATCATCTTCTTCTTTATCACAGACATCATCATCATTTATCATCATCATCATTATCATTTATCATCATTATCATTCATCATCATTATCATTCATCATCATTCATGATCATTATAATTCATCATCATTATCATTTATCATCATTCATCATTATTATCATTCATTATCATTTATCATCATTATCATTTATCATCATTATAATTTATTATCATTATCATTTATCATCATTATCATTCATCATCATTATCATTCATCATCATTATCATTTATCATCATTATCATTCATCATCATTATCATTCATCATCATTATCATTTATCATCATTATCATTTATCATCATTATCATTTATCATCATTATCATTCATCATCATCATCATTTATCATCATTATCATTTATTATCATTATCATTCATCATCATTATCATTCATCGTCATTATCATTCATCATCATTATCATTTATCATCATTATCATTTATTATCATTATCATTCATCATTACCATCATCATAGATGTTACTATCATCGCCGTCTTTGTTTTCATTAAAAATATTCTTTTTGTTTCCTGGTCCAAGTTAAGAGTGGGGGAAGAATAGACCCACTGCCTCTTTACAAGCATGTCGTAAAGGGCGACTAATTTGTGGGCGGGGGTTCCAAATCGGAGTGGAGTGCATCTGTCTGAGGGTCGACGAACTAACAGTCCGAATATAAAAATCCACACAAGTAAAACGGATGTGCACGCAAAACTTGCTGTCTGGAAAAGGATCCAAACCCAGAAAGGGACGAACAACCAGAACTTTCCGCCAGAGTTTACAGCTGGTGAACGCTGAAGAGAGTAAGAGACTTGCTTCTTTCTCAGCATTTTTTTCACCATTAGAGGCGAAGGATGGGGTGAGCTTCGGCTGCGATATTGTCAACATCGTTCACTAGGCGCCCTGTGTGTATCCTTTGGCGCCATTTTGTTAAGAGGGGGAAGGAGGGGGAGGTTAATCTTGTGCTTCAGAACAAGGCAAAACAGATTACGCATCTATATTTAAACAGAAGTTGAGATAGAAGTGTCAGCCACAAACACGGTGACCCTCAGGCAGCGGAACATATACTTCAAGACTGCTCATAATTTGAACATATTAAGACAAACATTTTGGCGAGAAAGAACAGCGGTGGAACGTCACCTCTTCGGACCAGTGAATGAATTAAAAACGACAGTGGAATTCAAACGAGACAATATTGCTGACATAGAGCGTATTTCAGGCGAAGGAAAGAAGAAGGAGGCTCACTGCGACCCACACACATGTCGTAAAAGGCTACTAACTGTTTACTGAAATCGGATGCTTTGGGTTTCCTATTCTTCTTCTTTGTCTTCATCTTCTTCTTCTTCTTCTTCTTCTTCTTCTGCAACTACTACTACTACTGCTGCTGCTGCTGCTACTGCTGCAGCTACGACTACTGTTACTTATTCTTCTTCTTCTTCTTCTTCTTCTTCTTTTTCTTCTTTTACTTCGACGTCGTTTGACTGTTTATTGTACGAAATTTTTTGCGTACCTCTTTTTCCCCGCCTCATCCTCCTTTTTCGCAACATCCGCGGCATTCTGGCGTTATTTCCTACCCGTAGACAGTGTCTCCTTTGTGAAAATAAACCCATCCGGGTTTTAGGCCTAGCTCATCGACGTCCTTTCTAACCAATACACCCAAATCTATATAGTTTTAATGGGGTAAACACTTTCGTTTAAATCATGGAATAATCTGCAAGTGCCTTTAAGACGAGCTGCACGGACCCCTTTGCACGCGGCCCTAAAGGTTATCTGTGGAAAAGTTGTGGGTAAACAGTCTCACTCAGGGAGATTCATCGGTCAGTTGACCTACTTTGGTTTGTGTATTTAAACATACGCAGATAACTGACCGCAGCTTTATATCCTAGTTTACACATAATATAACCCTTGACCCCTTAGGGTCGTGGGGGGGGGGGGGTGTATCGATGGAAGCACTACCACACAAAACCCATTGTCTCTCGCTTGCTGTGAACAAGTATTTTGTAATTTGGTCCTACCCAGTTCTTGATCATGTCTCATTCCAGGCTTTTCTTTTTTTTTCTGTCTTCCCCCCCCCCCCTCCCCCTCACCTTTCCCAGCCGCACGCCGTCTTCTTTGAAGTATAGTGTCTAATCGAATCATATCTCACCTCGTGCTCGAACCACACCTGAAATGAATGCCAGGTAAGGTAAAGGCGAAAGTTAAAGTGGAGAGCCTGATGTTGACCGCATCACCAACCAAGTGCTGATTGGTCTAACATATCGGTCTAGCCCTATATGCCTAGTACGCCTAAAAGCGTGGAAAAGGGTGCTTTAATTTACTTAGAGAGTATAAACATTTGGCTTTTGCTGCTTGTTGACCATGGGTCAGTTGCAGAAACAACCCCAGGCTGTTTTTCTGTTTGTAGTTTCACAAGGCAGTTTTACATTCAGTAGTTTGCCATTACCCTCAACGGTCAGTTTTTGCTACCACTGTTGGAATCAAGGCAAAGCGGTCTGCTGCCAAATCGCATTACCCGCGAGCTCGCATCGCCTAAACTACAGACTCTGACGTTTATCATAATAGCAGTAGGAGATTGGTTCATTCTTTTTATTGTGTTGAACTTTTTTTTTTTTTCACTGACAGAACCAAAAGAGACAGTCTCGCCAAAGTTCAAGAATGCAACATTGTCAGGCTCATACATCGATGACACGATTTTTGAAAACCTCTATTGGATACTAAAAGGACACGAAGTTACAAGACAGTTTTGGGCATTATCAAAGAGTGAAGTACTGCCCTGGGAATCTCACCAATCTCGATTCTAGTTTGAGCAGCTAAAGATACAGCAGACAAAGTTGTTTGTGTTCGTGAAGCTGAATGGATATTTTCCAGTCCATCTGTGATGACTCTCCAATATGGGTAAGTTGATATTGTTTCTAAGTTAACTCTTGATTGGCTGGCTACTTAGTTGCTTTTCTGGTTTGTTTGTTGATTGGTTGACTGGTAGTATAGTTTGTCGATTGTTTTGGCTGGCAGAATGGTTTGTCGATTGTTTTGGCTGGCAGAATGGTTCGTCAATTGTTTTGGCTGGCAGAATGGTTTGTCGATTGTTTTTGGCTGGCAGAATGGTTTGTCGATTGTTTTGGTTGGCAGAATGGTTTGTCGATTTATTTGGCTGGTCGGTTGCTTGAATATATTTGAGCTGAGTTTACTTGATTCAGGAACCAACATCACAGCACTCGGGGACCATCCCCGCTGCAAAACTCGCACCAGATAGTGGTGATCCATTTGCCCCTCCGAAATGTACACGCTGTCACACGAGGCCATAACCTCGACTGCCTTATCATGCATCAGTATTCCACGAAGCAGTGCAGAGCCAGCCAGTCAGTCATCCTGTTCATTTCCTAACACACCTGCAACGCGCAAAAAAGATCCAGACAGCGCTTCTCATCCGTGACCTCCCGTGTCCTTGGATTGAATAGCTGACTGTTTGGTTTGTACGTATGTAAGTTGTACCCCACCAGGACATCACACAAGCGATAAGCACCCGGTTACACAAAGTGCCACCATGCGGACGAGGATCCCTCCGTGGAGAGGTCCCATCCGTTAGGCCATATTTATGGCCTGGCTATATTAAGGGTCACTGGTTACCAACAATGGTGACACAATGAAAGAAATTAAACGGCGACTATCAATTGCTCTTCAAAGACTAAAACAACTGAATAAATTATGGAATTGTACAGATAGAATTACAAAGGTCAGATTTTTAAGAGCATGCATCTTTCCCATTGCAACATACGCCTGTGAGACCTGGACACTTACTAAACAAGCGGAACAGCGCATAAATGCATTTGAATATAAATGTTACAGACAGGTTCTAAGAATATCTTGGGTAAAGAAAAGAACAAATGCATCCATACTTCAAGAGCTGAATATTGAAGAGGGTTGGCTAGTAAAGACAATAAAACAAAGAAAATTGAAATATTTTGGTCACTTGAAACGTCATGGAGGTCTAGAGAGAACAATAATGGAGGGGTATATGCCTGGGAAGAGAGGAAGAGGAAGGCCAAGGAGAAGATGGGTGCAGGATGTGGCAGATGATCTCCAGATGGGTGTATCAGACGCAGGACATCTTGCTCAGGATAGGAAGGTTTTCCGGAGGGTTGTTATGGCAGCGAGGTTCCGCGAGGGACATGCTACTGAATGAATGAATATTAAGGGCCCCCAGCGAAAGCCAGGATGGGGCTTCGAATAACGAAAAGTTGCATCCCATGTGGGGACGACAATATATAAGGTTAGTTTGTGATGTCTTAATAATTGTATGCTTATTGTTTTGTTGGCAAGCTCGTTACTTGCTGCCGGCTGTTTGGCTAGTTAGATGTCTTGTAAGCTGAATGGCAGACTGACTTGTTGGCTGTTGCTGGCTGGTTCAATAAAAGAACATTTCTATGCCTTTATAAATGTTGGGCACATAGGGCTAGAGCTATATTTTATAGACCAATCGCCACTTAATGGGTGGGTGGTCAACATCACGCTAGCAACCTTTATTTACCTCCCAGAACCTTACCTGTTACTGAATCCTGGGTCGACCTGCGACCAAGAGCTTTTTTTGAAACACCCGGTTCAGTTGGGATTCAAACGCACCACTTTCGGATCCACAGTCGAGCCTCTAGCTGCTTCACAACGCCGGCTCTTCCTATTAGTAAAAATAGAACACCTTTTCATACCATTAGCGCATTGGGGTATATGCTGGTGGGCCCATCGGGGTATATGCTGGTGGGCCCATCGGGGTATATGCTGGTGGGCCCATCGGGGTATATGCTGGTGGGCCCATCGGGGTATATGCTGGTGGGCCCATCGGGGTATATTCTGGTGGGCCCATCGGGGTATATGCTGGTGGGCCCATCGGGGTATATGCTGGTGGGCCCATCGGGGTATATGCTGGTGGGCCCATCGGGGTATATGCTGGTGGGCCCATCGGGGTATATGCTGGTGGGCCCATATATGAATAGCCAGAAGTTATGATGATTACCATCACGCCGGTCACCTTTACTGGCATGGCATTTCCCGGTGCCCATATTGGGATGAGTTGAATGTTGAATTGAGAATCCACATCACAGGACTCCCATAAGTGCTCAGTCCCATCTTCAGCAGCAAATGACTAGTTCCAATTCTGATGGTACCAGTAATTGTCTTATTGGGATAAGTCAACATGGGAAATCACATAATTTTTTTTTACCCTGCGTGGATTCAGTTCCAAAACGTTTGGATCGACAAGCAAGTGCGATGAACTTATTATTACATTAATAAAGTTTTTGTTACTTCGTCTTCTTTCTGTCTTCTTGTCTTCTTGTTTATGCTGTAAAGTGTTACAGATAGTAGTTAGATGTAGTTGTCTGTCTTCTGCTAGCTTGTATTTATGTCATATTGCGTTTCTCCTTTGTGGAGGAAGCAAGAATAGACCCAATGCCTTCCCAACAAACATGTCGTAAGAGTTGACTAATTGGGGGCACTTCCTTCGAAGTGCCTCTGTCTTAGAGGCAAGGAACCAACAGTCTGCATACAAATAAGCTTGAGCTATAAAACGGGTGTGCACATAGTGCTCAGCTTCTGGAACCGGACTAAACTCTAGAGGTAGACGATCTGCCAGAATTTCCTGCAATAGTTTACAACTAGTAAACGCGAAGAAGAAGATGAAGATATTGCGTTTCTGTAGTGTCTCTTTTACTCGCTCCACCCACGCCTTTCTTGGTCGGCCTCTTGCCGTGTAGCCTGTGCTTTCATGTAAAACGCTAGAGCTGCTCACCGAGTTTGTTTCGTTATGACCAGATGACCACACAGGTTGATTATTTGATGTTCTAAAAATCTTCTACTCTGTGTTCTGTTTCGCATGTCAGCTGTAGGTCCTTCATAGTTCCCCCATAGCTTGCTCTGCAGACTTTGTTCTTGAGGCAAGGTTTCTTTTTGAAGTTGTAGGTAGAGTGGGCAGGTCTGCAGAATATGCTCAGGTGTTTGTTGTCCTGTCTGACAGGCACACTGTGGGGACTGTACAATCTTTATTTTATGCATGTGTTAGTAAGCCTGCGGTGTCCTGTCCATAGAGGGAAAATAGTTGTATGTTGCTTTATGTTTAGTCTGCTGATGGGGTCTTGTGGATGTTTACTGTTGGTTTGTTCTCTCCACAATTCCTTGTTTTTTCCCTTTATGGGTGTTTTGATTTCTGGTAACGACAATGGATGGGTGTGTTGTTTCTCGTTTTTTTTTTTTTTTCAAGTCTGTTCGCTAACTAATTTCCTGGTACGCAGCAGTGAGCCGGGATCTACTGGAGAACGAATTGATTGTTTTCTGTGAGTCTGTTTAGCTTGCGGGTCAGTTCTCTCTCCATGTTGTCTCGTGGATCCCTCTGAGTCGCCTTCAAGACTGACATGCAGTCACACAGGAAAAACATTTTTGCTGTTTTTCATTTTCTCTCTCAAGCACTTTGGTTGCATCAATAATTGCTTGCTGATCTAAAGTTTGTTAAGAGTCTTCCAGAGACGCATGACGTTTTACAATGGTCCCGTCTTGCAGCATGATGACCGATCCAGCTTCTCCGTTTTTTTTTCTCCCTCCAAAAATTCCTTCGGTGTATATGTGTGTCCATTCGGGTTTTATGTAAGAGAGACATGTTCAAGGGTCTTTGCATGCAGTACTAGGTCACATTCTTCAGCATTTCTGTCTATGCCTAGGATTGTTTTTGTCTTTATATAGTTAGTTTACCGGTATTGTGTCTACTACTGTTGTATCGGTTTTGTGCCTACTACTGTTGTACCGGTATTGTGCCTGCTACTGTTGTACCGGTATTGTGCCTACTACTGTTGTACCGGTATTGTGCCTACTACTGTTGTACCGGTTTTGTGCCTACTACTGTTGTACCGGTATCGTGCCTGCTACTGTTGTACCAGCATTGTGCCTACTACTGTTGTACCGGCTGTCTACTACTGTTGTATCAGTTTTGTGCCTACTACTGTTGTACCGGTATTGTGCCTACTACTGTTGTACCAGTATTGTGCCTACTACTGGTGTACCGGTATTGTGCCTACTACTGTTGTACCGGTATTGTGCCTACTACTGTTCTTTGTTCTTCATTGATGACTCTGCCTCTTTATGTTTTACCGCCGCAGTTTCTTTTATACATCTTATCTCACATGTTGAGATTTTGCTTTTTTACGTTGTTGTTGACATATCAACATTGTAGGACACAGAGAGACTGACAAACAATAGCTGGCCGGAGTTCACACAGTGCTTTCAGTGGACGGTCTTATCATGGTTACCAGATTTTTGGCTGTGGATATGCCTGCCAACCTACGTTTGGTACGTTCGTAAGCGCTCTTCGTTGGCTGTTTACAGACTATCTGGCAGCAAACTCAACATCACAAAAATTGTAAGTTATTCAACTTTCTTTGATTTGCTTCTTGGCGGACTCTTGTCTTTTTATTTTTTAAACAAACCTAATTATTGTTCTTTACAATCCCCAGTGGCTTCCGGGATCCCAGGGGGGGGGGGACAAGAATAGACCCACTGCCCCCTCTACAAGCATGTCGTAAGAGTTGACTAACTGGGGGCTTACTTCGAAGTCGGAGTACATCTGCGTGAGCGGCAAGGAACCAACAGTCTGCATACAGATAAGCCAGATCTGTAAAACTGATGTGCACACAAAAACTGGGAACAGGGCTAAGTCCATAGGTAGATGTACAAACAGAACTTTCTGCTGAAGTTGACAGATGGGAACGAGATTAAGTAGAAGTTCTTCACTAGAGTAATATAATCATCATCACCACCAACATTATCATTTACTTTCACCATTATCACCACCGCCATCTTTATCACTACCATCCATATCCCCATCTATACCATTGTCCTTATCACCATCCATATCACCATCCATATCACCATCCATAACCCTATCGATATCACCATCCATATCCCCACCCATATCACCATCCATATCCCTATCCATATCACCATCAATATCCCCATCCATATCACCATCCACATCACCTTCCATATCACCATCCATATCACCATCCATATCACCATCCATATCCCCATCCATATCCCCATCCAAATCACCATCCATATCACCATCCATATCACCATCCACATCACCATCTATATCCCCATTTATATCACCATCAATATCCACATCAACATCCATATCACCATCCATATCACCATGCATATCACCATCCATTTCACCATCCATATCACCATCCATATCACCATACATATCACCATCCATATCACCATCCATATCACCATCCATATCACCATCCATACCACCATCTGTATCACCATCCATATCACCATCACCCGAATTATTATTGCCTGTATGAGTGCATCTGCCTGGAGGTGAGGAACCAACAGTCTGCATGCCTAAAAAAATTAAATTGATGTCTATAAAGTGAATGTGCGGGCAAAACTCAAGTTTTGGAACAAAATCAAAGTCTGGAAGTGGACAAACAGTCAGACATTTCACCCTGAGATTGAACTTGGTGAAAGCTAAGAAGATGAGACAGTCATCATCATCATCAACATCTAAATCATCATTATCATCCTCACCATCCGAATCATCATCATCATCATCACCACCATCATCATATGGATCACATGATTGATTTTATTTTATTCAAGAACCGATCTCACAGCACTCGGGGTATTCCTCCATCCCCATCTTCAGCAGCCAGCGAAAATTTCTAATACTAATAGTGCCAGTAGCATTCTGATTAAACGTCTGTCTTGCCTTTCGTCTGAGCCTCGAGCATCTGCCAGAACCTCTCGTCACTTCCCCCCTGCATCGATCTCAGCAGACTGTGGTGATCCATCTGCTCCTCTGAACTGTACACGCTCTCCCACAAGGCACTAACTATGTCTGCCTTATCATGAATCAGTATTTCATTAAGTTGTGCCTGTTCATTTCCCAACACACAAGCGTCTCCCGGTGACAAAATCCAGACAATACTTCTCACATGTGTCCTCCGCAGCGAAGCATGCCACTCAGCATCAAGCATGCCTGTTCTGATCTTTCCCATCATGCTTCCGCATGATTGAACCATCAGCCCACTAGGTTCTTAATTATCTGTTGATGATGATGATGATGCTGTTGTTGTTGTTGTTGTTGTTGTTGTTGTTGTTGTTGTTGTTGTTGTTGTTGAACACTCATACTGTTAAAAACCTCTTAAGGCCTCCTTCCCTTATCTAGAAGCTGCTCAAGAGGCAGACCTCTCATTCCCCCAGTGATCCCTTCGTGTGGGAGCCCTGGAATATGCTGTATGTAACAATTGTTAACTCTTCAGTTGTTTTGTTCTCCCACAGTTTTTATGTCTCCTGCAAGCTGTGCTGACATTGCTTCAGCTGTTCAGTGCTGTACAACAGGATGACAACATCATAGCACCTGCAAAAGCTTTCTACTTGTCATGCTCCATTAGTGCTGTCACTTATGTAAGTTCAAAGCAAAGTTTTTTCTTTCATGCTCTTTAGTTTTGTCACATATGTAAGTTCATAGCAAAGTTTTTTCTTTCATGCTCTTTAGTTTTGTCACATATGTAAGTTCAAAGCAAAGTTTTTTCTTTCATGCTCTATTAGTTTTGTCACGTGTGTAAGTTCATAGCAAAGTTTTTTCTTTCATTCTCTTTAGTTTTGTCACATATGTAAGTTCAAAGCAAAGTTTTTTCTTTCATGCTCTATTAGTTTTGTCACGTGTGTAAGTTCAAAGCAAAGTTTTTTCTTTCATGCTCTTTAGTTTTGTCACATATGTAAGTTCAAAGCAAAGTTTTTTCTTTCATGCTCTTTAGTTTTGTCACATATGTAAGTTCAAAGCAAAGTTTTTTCTTTCATGCTCTATTAGTTTTGTCACGTGTGTAAGTTCAAAGCAAAGTTTTTTCTTTCATGCTCTTTAGTTTTGTCACATATGTAAGTTCAAAGCAAAGTTTTTTCTTTCATGCTCTATTAGTTTTGTCACGTGTGTAAGTTCATAGCAAAGTGTCTCTCTCATGCTCCATTACAGCTGTCATGTAAGTTCTCAGCAAAGTTTCCACACAATAAAGTTCAACAGATTGGTTGAGTTTTCTGTTTTAGTTGAAAGCATTCATTTGGTTACTTTATCTTATTTAAATATTACTGTAGTATGTACCTGATGTTATTTTTTTTTTAAAAACAATAGGCCAGCCAAATGTTCTAGTCTGTTGTTTTTATCTTCTTTGTTTGAACATGTTCCCCATGTGGGTTCTGGGTCCCGACTGTGTGGGAAACAAAAATAGACCCACTGCCTCCCTGATGTGGTGAGCATCCACTAATTGGGGGCTTCTTTTGAAGTCAGAGTGCATCTGCCTGTGAGGCAAGGAACCAACAATCTGCATACAAATAGGTCAGATCTGTAAAACAGATGTGCACACAACACTCAGGCTCTGGAAAAAAGACTTGAGTCTGGAGGTGGATGAACAGCCAGAACTTTCTATGGATTTTACAGCCAGTGAACACGAAGAAGATGAAGAAGAAGTTTAAACCTATGTAGGTACTAAGCTTCCATCACCTTGTAATCATAGCTAAGACTGAATACCAGTAAAAGGACAGTAATCTAAAATCTCACCCCCCCCCCTCCCATTTTCACCCACTAGGTTCATGGGACAATTTTATTTGGGGAAAAGGATTAGGCTCACTGCCCCATAGCAGGCAACTAAAAAGGCATTTGCTGAAATCCGACGTGTTAGACAGAAAAGAGCAGATATCGCAGCCTAGCTGTAATTCCCAATTAAGTGTAGCACCAGCTCTTCTAAGGGTGAATATTTAAAAATAAAAAAGGAAGAGGAAGGTAACCTGATATATTTGATGGCAAGTGTTAGTGAAATTAACAAGCAGAAGTCACAAGACATAGTACTTCTGCTTCTGCTTCTGCTTCTTCTTCTTCTTCTTCTTCTTCTTCTTCTTCTTCTTCTTCTTCTTCTTCTTCTTCTTCTTCTTCTTCTTCTTCTTCTTCTTCTTCTTCTTTGTACTGACTGGCTGTAATGTCCAGACGCTTGTAATGTAAAAAAATAAAAATATGTATTTGCCTGCATGACCTCATGCTCCTGAAAGTACTTTCTTGCAACTATTATGTCATTGACATAATTTGCATCTTTTTTAAAACATATTTACATCCATTTTCAGATTGTAGCTGCCTTTTTGACCAGAAATGCAAGGAAAGCTGGTATAGCATCTCCATGTATTCTGTTCATGTTTTGGCTGCTGAATTTGATATGCCACATTCCCCCTTTGTATAGTTATGTTTTATCAGGGGTGAGTTACAGGTTTCCTGTGTTGTATATTACTCTGTGAAATGTTAAACTGGTGTGTGAAATTATAAAATGACTTTGGGAGTGACAGCCGTACATATCTACCTATTTATATTAAAGGTAGACTTTAGTTCTCTTTCAAACTTACCACTGGATCTGGTTTTGGACACAAAAGAGAGTGTGTGGTTATGTCAAACAATTTCTTGAGGCCTTAAAGATGTGGTTTTACAGAAAAATGCTTACAGGACAGCAAAAAAGATTAGCCCCGAATTTTTTTTTCAAAGTTGAGCCCAAAAGTTTACCCAAAGACAGTTTATCACAACTTATCATAAACATCAAAAGTAATCATTTTGTGGCCACTGTCACAAGATGGTGGTCATATGTCATAATTTGTGTCTCTCAAGGTACACTGGTCGGCGTCTGTGGCTTATGGGTTGCTTCGTAATGTCGGGGTGCTGGGTTCGATCCCTGCTGCGGATGGTTTGTCTTGTGATGGTTTCGACCGTGGTACCGAGCGCTGACCGTCCAGAAAGCAATGGCAAACTACTGGATGTAAATTTGCCTAGAAAAACCACAACAGCCAGAATGTGCTTGGGTTGGTTCTGCAACAAGGCACACTGACACTCTGGAGTGGTAATTTGTTGTGATGGTGGCTCATATTGGTCTAAGCCGCAAACCCACAGCTCCAACAACACTCCACGGATGAGGTAACTCAAGTTATGGGCACTTAGGATCTATGCAGGGCACAACTTGGCCAGACACCGTCACCACTTGCAAAGCTCCCAGACTGTGACTGTGTCACTATCCTAGTCAAATACAGTGATGTGATTAGAGTTCTCACTAAAAAGCCAACACACACAGACACAATAAAATAAAATAAAATGGAACCTTGCAATAAATGACATCTGCTAAGTTTTTCTTTAAATTCTATTTTAAATGTGTAATAAGAATATCACAACAGAAGGAGGTTTGAGCGACTGAAGAAGTGAGAGGACACCTAAAACAGAAAGACATAAATAATTTCCCTGATAGTCACACACTATCCACTGAACTACCATGGACCGGATGTCATAAATCATGGCCCCTAAGAAATGAACGTCTTTGGTGCAAGCCTGTGGCACAACATTTCCTGATGGCTGCAACCTTGGGACCTGTAAAGTAGATTGATCTGACTGGTTCCAGGGAAGACTTGATTCCCTCCTCTTCAAAGTCAAAAGGCTGAACTTCACAAACAGCTGCCTTATTGATGAGAACTGGAACAGCATAAAGTAGTGAGGACCCAGGAGTACATCGGGAACTTCAAGCCTTGAAAAATATAGATCAAGAAATTCACACAAAAATCTGCGTCACGACAGAGTTCAAACTATCAGGATGGGTGCTGAGATTCAAGCTGAAGATTGAATTCACAGTTGCGCTTGAATTGTTCTCAGATGGATTCTGGCAATAAGACAATCCAACTCCTGTCTGTGAAAACCATGACTAACAGTTGTAATGCTTCATATAAGTCCTAATACCATCAACAACACAATCTTGATGAAAGTCTTTGGCAACCTAGGTCATTCCTTTTTCACAAGGTCAGATAATGGATACCCTGTAGTTATAATCCTCCTGACAATTCCCTCAGACAGATTAAGGTTCTGCACCAAAGTAATTTCCAGTCTGAATGTTATGCAGGCACTCTAAGAGTTAGGCTAAAGAAGCACTCATCACACTAATACGGAGTGGCATACATAAAGAGAGGGAGAGACTCTATCATAGTACTCATTTCTAATGTTCAAAGTTTGCCTTTCCTTGCCGAGTAATGATAGTGATCCAGCAGTAGAATCTAGGCATCTTCCTTCAGAATTGTTCCTTGTTTCATAATTCCTATGTTGGTGAAACTAACAGACAAAAGTTAGACACTGGGTTGCTGCTGGTGGCTGACCTGAGCAGCTATGGTGACTAAAAGGCCACCTGATGATGTTGGATGAAGCTGAATTTTGAAGGCACTAAGTGTGGCCCATCGCATTAGGCCCCTTTGAGATAAACTTCCCGTTAATTTGGGCTAGAAGGTGACACATGGCATGACGTAGGTTTTGTGATGGAAGCTTTTGCTGACAACGTTAACTCCTGATTCAGATGCTGCCCTCAAACAGACCAGTTCTGTTAGGATCATTACTGATCACAATCCTATACACTGATAAAAGTTTTCTGTGAAAATGATTATCTTTGACTTTTAAGAGTGAATAATCTTTAGAAGAATTTCATGAGATCCTCTACGGTGCCAGTTTCAAAGGCTGGAAAGATTCCTTCTGCTAAACTATTGGATAATGGTCTCTGCAAACCAATTAGTCGACTTTTGGGTAGTCAGTGATTCTATTCTTGTTTTTCCCCCACAATGGGGACCCGGAACCCACACAGGGAAAATGGCAACTGAGAAAACCGGATTTCTTCAGTATGTTCTTAACAAAATGCAAACTGCACCAGAACATATTTTTATGTTTGGGGTTTGGGGATGAAGAAGTGCTGAAGTACAAATTGTGGGCTCCAAGACCAGGGATCATGCTGGTTGGTCAAGACCTCTCAGGGGTCATCCTAGAAACCGGTGGTGAGGTGTGATCAATTTGCATGTATATGTGTTAGCAGGTAACAATTACAAAAATAACTGTCTTATATGGTTGAACCCCCCCCCCCCATGTGGGTTCCAGGGCCCCATTGTGAGGAAAACAAGGACACACTCACTGCCTCTGTGGGTCCCAGGGCCCCATTGTAAGGAAAACAAGGACACACTCACTGCCTCCCCCCGAAGCATGTTTCAGTAGTCGACTAATGGAAGGTGTCCTTTGAAGTTGAAGTGGATCAGCTATATAGAATAGCTATTTACTGTCATGAAAGTTTAAATTTTTAAAACTCATATTATGTACGAGACAATTTTGACAATTTTACAGCTTTCCTAAATCTTTGGCTTTTTTTATGATGTAAAGATATTTGCAAGTGTGGTATGACTGATACAAGTATTGAGATGAATTCATAGGAGTATAATGCCATAAAACATATTGTATGGAGGGGAACAGTCAGAAAGGGAAACAGGACAGAGGAGACAATGACTGTAAATAGGTTAATAGCTGGGTGTGTAATAATAATAACATAAACTAATGATGGCAACAATGGCCATGAAAACCCATGCTCTAATTGTTGAAGATTATTCTTAACATGAGCTGTTTTTGCTAGTCCCACTCACCATTGACAGACTGTGATTCCCATGCAGCTGTACAGCAAAGTGTAACACTATTATCTTGAAAGACATAAAGATTTCATCAGCAGCATTTTGCCACAGTTTAACCAATTTCATTTAATTATGAAAATTTCAGTGAAATTATGGTGACTGTTTTACTGTATCTACTTTCTTTCTTTCTTTCCTTCATTACCTTTTTATTTTCTTTCCTGCAGGCATATAAAGAAGAACAGTTTCAGTTTGACATTCAGTGTGCATCATTTGTGTTCATTGTCATTCAGTTCTTCTTACATTTTATTGCGGAAAAGGTTAACCTTGGATATGAGAACACAAGTAGGGTAAGTGCAGATACATTCCAACTTGATTCTATTCTTTTTTCTTTTCTTTTTTTCTTCATCCACCCTTAAAAGCATGGCTTTTTAACTAAGTTTACTCGGCGGTGACCATTTTGAAAAAATGGGGATCATCATGAGACCCGAACCCCAGCCTAGAAAGATCATTAATACAACTAGCAGTGATCCGTAGGCCACTTGTTAGTCCTCTGGGGGCCAGATTTAGTTTGCGGGCTGCCAGGTTGAATAGCCTTGATTTTAAGGATAGCTGGCAGGCTGTGTATGGGTTTATACCTAAGCAGAGAAATCTGCTGCTTTCCAATTTCAGCAAAGTCCTAATTAGATGCTTTTGGGAGGTAGTCTTTGCTAGTGAAATGATGGCTTGTATGACTGATCATTTGTGTCAACAGTGAGCCGCAGTTCTGGTGTGGAACTATTAGTGTTGGTATATCTGACAGCTGCTATATGCATTTTTACTTTGCGTGAGCAAGCTTCACGATTTTGCTGAGATTTACACGTTTTTCCACTAGTTTTCAAATGAGACAGTGAAGGACATTTTGTTTTATTTCCACCAGCATAGGAATGGAGTAGTTATAGGTGATCCATCTGCACTAATGTAGGGTTCAATTGTTTTAATTTGGGTAAGATTGCCTAGAAGAGACAGCCACGGATATAGGTTGTTCTGAAATATAATTGTCTTGTAAAATTTTACATAAACCAATGTAGTTACAAGATTATGTAAGACACAGTTTATTCTAGGACAGGAAAAACAAGTTGTTTCTGTCTTCTTCTTCTTCTTCTTCTTCTCCTTCTCCTCTTTCTTCTTCTTCTTCTCCTCCTCTTTCTTTTTCTTCTTCTTCTCATTCTCCTCCTCCTTCTCCTTCTTCTGCTCTTCCTCCTCCTCCTTCTTCTTCTTCTTCTTCTTCTTCTTCTTCTTCTTCTTCTTCTTCTTCTTCTTCTTCTTCTTCTTCTTCTTCTTCATCTTCTTCTTCTTCTTCTTCTTCTTTGCATTCCCGAACTGCAAAATTTGGCACAAAGTCCAGGTTCTCTATCCACGTCTGGACTATAGCCTTGATTTTGGACTTGAGTTTTGTGTGCGCAACTGTTTCACAGACCTGGATAAGTGATCTGCTAACTGTTGATTCCTTCCTCTAGAGCAGATGCACTCCTACTTCCAAGAAAGCTGTCTGTGTTAGATTCCAGCCAAAATATCAGATAAATGTGTCTGCCAAATCATGTTTACAATGCAGTCTCACTTTTCGTAACAATAGGGAGGGGTGGGGTGGAGAGTGGGGGGGGGGGGGGGGCTGAGTGGTCTCGAGCCTTGGTGTTCACCTCACCAGTGAAGGCTGGGATTTTTCCCATGGACTTCTAGTAATTTCCCCTGGTCTCTGGGTAGTCAGATCAGATGCCCTTGTGTATGGTTGCACAGGTAAAAATCCCATGGCATCCAAAAGCGTAGCCTAACCACACTTCCCGGGCAATAATTGTAGTTAAAAATCTACCCTAAGTATTTTAAGATCCTTGCCAGTGCTGCCGAGCTCATGCACTGAGCTGAGATTCTTCGGACTTAATCTTAAGAGGTACTAAACGATATTGTAACAATACAGGCACTGCATGAATACAACTGTTGGCACTTTTTATGTCTTTCCAAATGAAATTATTTCATTGTGCTAAAAGTAGTTATGAGACTCCCAGCCCATAGTGATACAAGTCAAGGATTATGTCATTTATTTTTCTTCACAGCTTAAAACCTGGGCTGTGTCGAAGAGATCCATCTGCAGCCCATGCATCATGACCCCTCTCTCTCTTTTCTTACTGTTCTAATGCCAAAGGAAAGATAACACCTATACATTTGGAACAAAACCTGCTGCAGAAACCTCAGAGTGAACGGCAGTGCTTTCCCCTGTGAGTTTCGGGGCTCATTTTGGGAGAAAAAAAAAGAATAGACTTCCTGCCTCCCTAACAAGCATGTCGTACAAGCTGACTAATTATGGGAGTTTCCTATGAAGTAAGAGTGCATTTTCCTGAGAGGCAAGGAACCAACAGTTTGCATACAAATAAGCCAGATCTGTAAAATGGATGTGCAGACAGAACTCAAGTTCTGGAACAAAATCAGAAGTCCAGAAATAGATGAACAACTAGAACTTTCTGCTAAAGTTCTTTATCAAGTCGTCCACTCGTAGGATGCCATTTTTTTTTAAATTTGAAACCCCACATTGGCTTTTGCCAGGGGGCCCTGAATATAGCCGGGGCATAAATTTGGCCTAGCCGTAGATATGGCCTAACGGCTGAAAGGGGTGATCCTCATCCTCATGGTGGCACTTTGTATCACCGGGTGTTTAACACTTGTGTGATGTCCCGGTGGCCTACAACTACCTACCTACCTACCTACCTACCTACCTACCTACCTACCTACCTACCTACCTTTGCTGGAGTTTACAGCCAGTGAATACTAAAAAGAAGAGAAAAAGAGGAGCAGTACTCATTCTGTCTGCCTGTTGGAGTGTCCCACCTACCAACCATGGCTAGAAGCCTGGTTTATATCTATACAGTTCAGTCACTTAACAAATGAATGTTAACAGTAGTCTTATCATTTACAATAATAATTTTTTTCAGTTAAAATCTGAATTTTTGTCTGGTAATTCATTGTCTTGTTAACTGTTACAGAAACCAAGTCCTGAGATTTCAGCTTCTTTTCCATCCAAAATCACATTTCATTGGATGACAAGGTACCACATGATCTTTGACATAAACTGAACTATTGTTCTGTGTTGGTAGAGGAGAAATGAAAAACAGAGATATATAGATTTATGGGTAGGGGAATGAATATATATACGGGTGGATGGATTTAGGAATAAATACAGAAGTAGACGGGACTGCAGGCACATATATACATGACTACTTATTCTTTGTCAATTGAGACAAGAAAAAAAATTCTTAGAAGCTATATAAATCCTATCTTGATATATAGAAGTTAATCATGGACAGTTGGTAGATTTGTGAAAAATTATTTGAAAGCTGCGGAGGTGTGGTTTTATAGACAAATGATGAAAATACCCTGGACAGATAAAAAGAGTAATGAAGAGGTCTTGAAAGAAACTGACTCACGAAGAGAACTTATTGCCCACATCAGAAAGAGACAACCTACATTCTTTGGTCATGTGATGAGAAGGAGAAAACTGGAGTACAATGTTACAGTAGGAAAGTTGGAGGGAGAGTCAGAGGGAGACCGAGAGAACAGACGCTGGACAGTTTGATATCATGGCATGGAGGATCATCTGTATCAGAGTTGATTGAAAGTACAAGAAGCAGAAGGTTGTGGATAGACATGACTACTAATGCCACAGGGCCCTGGACTTTAAGAAAAAGTTGTTAGCCTGGGTTGTGACCAAGTCAGTTTGTTTTGTTTTGTTTTGGTTTTTAAAGCCAAACCACTGATGACAAAACAGACCAAGCCTGCTAGCTACTACACAACTATAGGTTCCCCCCTCTGTCCCTCCCATGTCTGTATAAATCTGAGAAAATAATATCCGTAATTCTGATGATCGTGTTGAATGGTGAACCATAATCACCAAGACGTGTCTACATGGTACAAGATGATGATGCTATCAAAAACCGTTACTTTGTACACACTGAGTTACACAGTATTGTCATGAAACAATCATGCTAATGTCATGTATGAGCCCATTGTAGTTTGTGTTGCAAACTGTTTATTTAGAAAATGGCGGGAGATTTATGTATGGACAGGCACAGTGCCTTAGGCGGTATTGGGTGTGCAACTTTTGACTTGTAATAACTGACTGCTTCCATCAATGACGAACTGCAATTCCAGCAAAGGAATGTTAGTGTTGGCACATCTGACAGCTGCCTTGTACATTTACTGTATGTGTGAGCTGCCAGATCTGCTCTGTTTCTCTAATCTTCAGATGAAACAGTGAATGCCATTTTTTATGATTTTTTTGCTGGGACAAAAACACAACAATAATGGGATAACACATTTTCTGTTAGGCTGGAACTGTGACTAAGACTAACAACTAATTTTAACACCTTGATTTATTTGCCAGCTACATATGGCAAGGCTACAGAAAATCACTGAGTCCAGAAGATATATGGGAGCTTCCAGAGTATTATAAATCACAGAATATTGTACCAGAATTTGAAAAGGAATGGGGGAAGGAAGTTGCAAAAGCCACAGAAAAGAACAGGTTAGAGACTATTATATTTTACTTTTTCATTATACATGTTCAGCATGATGGAAGCTTGATGAAGACTGAGAGATTTTGTTATATTTTACATTTCAATGTAAATATTAAACAAGATGGAAGGTTGGTGTTGGTAGATTTTGATCTATTTCATATTTTAATTTAACTAATTGTTAAACAAGATTAAAGCTTGATGTTTAGAGATTTTGTTGTACTTTACATTTCATGGTAACTAGAAACCAGTGGTGAGGTGTGATCAATTTGCATGTGTATGCATTAGCAGGTAACAATTACACTGGAGAGTGTATCACATGATATTTTCCTCTTTCATAGCTTCGCTAATAAGAATATCTGTGTGCAGCTAGCATTGTAGTACTATTAACTGATATCCAACTCATGTTACAGAATCTGTATAAGTGTTGTAAACATACAGCAAGTGTTCTTTTCTCTATGTTAGAGACAAAAATTCAGTTGCCTTTTTGTAATAAATAGTCGGTCAGTAGCATGTCCTTTGCCTCACATGATGGAAGCTGTTTTGAGATTTTGTTATATTTTACTTTTCACAGTAAATGTTGAGGAGAAAAAGAGAGTTCTTCTTCTTTTTCAGTTTTATATGCTCAGGTTATCAGCTGTGTTTCCTCCATAAACCTGCACATCCATTGCAAGTCTCCGAAGATTCCCAATAGTTTGTTCTGGATTCTGGATCTTTCTTCTGCTTTCTCACATGTTTCGCTGTAGGGGTCAGTTCTGCAGTATTTGCTCTGGTGTTTGGGGTGTGGTTTGGCAGGATCATTGGGCTGATTATATAGACCAGTGGTTCTTAACTTTCCTAATGCCCCCACCCTTTAATACAGTTCCTCATGTTGTGATGACCCTTTAATACAGTTCCTCATGTTGTGATGACCCTTTAACACAGTTCCTCATGTTGTGATGACCCTTTAATACAGTTCCTCATGTTGTGATGACCCTTTAACACAGTTCCTTATGTTGTGATGACCCTTTAATACAGTTCCTCATGTTGTGATGACCCTTTAATACAGTTCCTCATGTTGTGATGACCCTTTAACACAGTTCCTCATGTTGTGATGACCCTTTAACACAGTTCCTCATGTTGTGATGACCCTTTAATACAGCTCCTCATGTTGTGGCGACCCTTTAATACAGTTCCTCATGTTGTGACAACCCCTAACCATACAATTATTTTCGTTGCTACTTCATAACTTCAGTAAATATTTGTTTTGCGATGGTCTTCGGCGACCCCTGTGAAATGGTCATTTGAACTCCCAAAAAAGTGTTGCGACCCATAGGTTGAGAACCGCTGATCTGTTTCTTTATCTCTCCGGTCTGTCGTGTTTTCTCTCTCTTAACCTGTCACTCTCATTGAAACTCTCTTCTGGAGTCTCTCAACCACCCTCCCTTAACTACTGGTCTTTATTTCTGTAATGTTATGCTTGATGCCATTATTCCAGATTTTGCATAGTCACCTCTTGATCTGTGTTCTGAGGAACAGAAGAGATACAAATCAGTAATGAAGTCATAAAAAAAATCAGCATAGAACAAATTCTTAGTTACATCCAAAGACAGTAAATCAAATGGTTTGCTCTCTTAGAGAGAATGCCTTGTGATGTCATACCATACAAGGCATTCACCAAAATAGGAGAAGGACACAGAGTGTGATGTAAACCAAGAACAACATGGAAAGATAACATCAGAGAAACTCGTCAACAGCACAATGTGTCTGTGGTTGAGACAGCCAGAAGAGCAAGAAGCAAAACTTTATATCTCCCTTAACACCCCAAGCTGTAAAAGAAGAAGCGAAGAAGATGAAGACACCTTGCTCTGTGTCCATAATATTTCTTCAACCTGGCTCTCTGTGGGAGCTCATACTCATCAGATGCCCCCCTACTACTTCATATAGTGAAAAAACAAAAGTAAAGTTCCCTTTTCAGGCCTTTAGGCACATCAGGCATATGGGAAGAGCACCCATATTTTTACAGACCAATTGGCACTTGGTGGGTAATGCAGTCAGCATTACGCCAGCCATCTTTACTTCCCCAAGACATACATCCTGGTACCCATTTTAGGCTGGGTCAACCTGCCACGCCCTATACCATGATAACAATCCACGCAGCCAGCAGTGGGTTTCGATTCGCAGAACATTGGAATTACGAGTCGGACTCGCACCACCTAACCACAGACGCCGCACCTCACGTGTTTCTCTTTAATAAACTATATAACAGATTTCAGCCCTAAACTGGGTACCACCTGCCACCTGTTGATAATATGCTGACAAACGATTTGTTTCAGAAATCTTAGTCCAACTTTTGCTAACCATGTTGATGAGGGTACACATCTACTGTCGGACAGCTCAGAGAGCTTGTCTTCCATGAAAGGAAAACATCAACCATCTCTCTTCAAAGTGCTGATGAAGACATTTGCACCTGAGCTTTTGATAGCTCATTCAATGAGACTAGTAGCAGATGCAATACAGTTTTTCTTACCTATTCTCACAAAGTAAGTGTGTTTAGTTTCTAACAGTATAAAACTTTATTTCCCAAATGTAGGTGTCAGGTCAGGGTCTCATTGTGTGTGTGTGTGGGGGGGGGGTGTAGACCCACTGCCCAAAAAACAAGCGTGTCATAAGAGTTAGCTAATTAGGGTATGTTTCTTTAGAAATCAGAGTGCATGTGCCTGAGAAGTGAGGTTCTAACAGTCTGCATACAAAAAAGCCAGATCTACAAAATAGATGTACACACAAAACTAGGTTCTGGAACAAGATTGAAGTCAATAGTGGATGAACAAATGAACAAATAGAACTTTCTGCTGGAGTTTACACGAAGAAGAAGAAGAAAAAAGTTTTTTTTAAAAAAGTAAAGGACCCTTTTCCACGCCTTTAGGCATATAGGGCATATAGGGCTAGACCTATACTTTATAGACCAACGGCACAAGATGGGTGATGTGGTCAGCATCACACCTGCCACCTTTACTTCCCAGGACTGCACCCGGTATCCACTCGAGGCTGGGTCGACCTGGGAGCCAAGGTCATTTTTGAAGAAAAGTCCGGCTCTGCCAGGGAGTGAACCCACGACCTTCCAAACCACGGCACCTGTCTAGCCGCTCTGCCACGGCAACTCGCAGAAGAAGAAGAAGACTGTGCAGCCTCTTAACACTTTCTGTTATAAACAATTTGTTGCATGTGAACATGCTGGGGGAAAAAAAAAAACAGTACAATAAACACAGTGTAAGGAGAAGACCATGAAAAATATAGAATGAGGATATCAACAGCATTAAAGAAAAAAAGATCAACATAAAAAAACGCATTAAAACTTCATATGGGTTCCTGGGGTCCCGTTGTGCGGAAGACAAGAATAGACCCACTACCTCCCCACCAAGCATGTCATAAGAGTAAACTGACTGGAAGCTTCCTCTGAAGTCAGAGTGCATCTGCCCGGGAGGTGAGAAACCAGCAGTCTGCATACAAATAAGCCAGTTCTGTTAAACAGATGTGCACACATCACTCAGGTTCTGGAACAAGACCAGAGTCCAGAGGTGGATGAATAACGAGAACTTTCTGCTGGAGTTTAGAGCCGGTGATGGGGAAGAAGAGCACTCCCCATGTGGGTTCTGGGTCCCCATTGTGGGTTCTGGGTCCCCATTGTGGGTTCTGGGTCCCCATTGTGGGTTCTGGGTCCCCATTGTGGGTTCTGGGTCCCCATTGTGGGTTCTGGGTCCCCACTGTGGGTTCTGGGTCCCCACTGTGGGTTCTGGGTCCCCACTGTGGGTTCTGGGTCCCCATTGTGGGTTCTGGGTCCCCATTGTGGGTTCTGGGTCCCCACTGTGGGTTCTGGGTCCCCATTGTGGGTTCTGGGTCCCCACTGTGGGTTCTGGGTCCCCACTGTGGGTTCTGGGTCCCCATTGTGGGTTCTGGGTCCTCATTGTATGGAAAACAAGAAGAGACCCACTGCCTACCTTAAAGCATGACATAAGAGTCAACTAATGAGAGCCTTCTTTGAAGTTTGAGTGCATCTACCTGAAAGGCAAGGAACCAATAGTCTGCACACAAATGAGTCAAATCTGTAAAATATATGTGCACGCAACACTCAGATTCTCGAACCAGACTTAAATCCCGAAGTGGACTCACAGCTATAACTTTCCACCAGAGTTTACAGCCAGTAAACGCAAAGAAGAATAAGAAGAAAATCTCTGAATGGTCAGCTCTCAATACCATTGTCAAAAAGCAATGCAAAGTTGTTTGCTGTCAGATCACTTGCAGCCTAAAATAGACACCATGAAATATTTTAGAAAATAAAGACAACTGATATGATTATGATTTTGTGATCAATCAAGTCTCAGTTGGGGGAAAGTGAACGGTATGGGGGCGCAAAAAGATCATCAGCAAGTAGTGACCAAGGGGATCTGGCCCACACTGGGCAGTCAGTGGACAGGGCGCGACAGACGTACAGTCAGACTAGAACCGTTGGAGTTGGAACTCTAGGTTTGCTGCTGAAGATGGGAATAGAGCGCTTATTGGGATGTCCCAAGTGCTGTGTGATATCAGTTCTTTACTCATAATTCAAGTTGCTGTGATATCAGTTCTTTACTCATAATTCAAGTTGCTGTGATATCAGTTCTTTACTCAAAATTCAAGTTGCTGTGATATCAGTTCTTTACTCATAATTCAAGTCCCAATTTATCTCTATAATTTGAGATTAGCTTCACATAGCCAATAAGTCTTGTGGCTTGGAAAAGCATTCTTTGCTTATATAGGGTCTTCATAAAGTCTGACTACACTTTGTTTGCAGAAAAAATTTGAAAAAAACCAAGTACATGATGTCATTAACAAAAATGCTTGAAAAACTCATTAAATTAACTTAAAATAGTTACAGTTATAGTCTAATGCTGTTTTAGAGAAGCTGAAAAGTACGAATGAAGTATTCATTAAAATTTAAACAAAAGATTTCTAACCATGATGTTATTAAGAGGTTGTTTATTGAAAAATCTTCCTACAAATCTTTGAATAACCATCCATGTGTATCAGATTCCATTTCAGAATACAGTTTAACCAAATAAATCTTTTTTCTGTTTGTAACAACATTCTGTTTTGACTGCAAAAAATTACTCTAGCAGACAACATCAATTCACTGCATATTGCTTTATAATTGACTATGGAGCATATTTTTTTATGATGTCATGTACAGTGGAACCTCGCTTAACGAGCATAATTCGTTCCAGAATCATACTCGTTAAGCGAAACACTCGTTATGCGAAACAATTTTTCTCATACAGATTAATGTAAAATATGATAATGCGTTCCATGTCGAAAAAATTACTCACAAAATGCTATGTATAACGTTTATTCAAAGAAAATTATATACATATTGTTAAGAAGAGTGACTCATCTTTATCTTTTCTTCAAATGCGGAACGAACCCACCTGGAATGCGAATTCGATTTACAGAAAATTCGAAATAATTATGATATATAATTAATTTTTTTTTTTTACTAGAATGATGTCCAGAGACATTTGTTTTTGCCGACGCTTCAAATTTGGTGAAAATGCAACACAGTATTATCATTAAATAAATTTACAACTCGCATAGCCACTTCCTTATTAGGGTGATGCTTCTCAGTGTAAGATGCAACAGTCTCCCATGCTTTCAGCATTTCTCTTTTTTCGCCAGAAGATTGTTGTTTTTCTGTTACCTCCTCCTTCCGACAAACTTTCCTCCAAAACTTCTTACAGTGAAACGCAATGCAACTCCATAAGCTCTTGGGTGGTCAGCTCTTGGCTGTGCTCTTCCACAAGCTCTTCAATATCACTGTTATCCACCCTTAATCCCATGATAGTGGCCAAAGACACAATCTTGTTTACTACAGGTTCCACAGGTACTGTCTCGAACCCCTCAAAGTCACAAATCGACAACGCTCTCCGGCCAAAGCTTCTTCCAAGGATAAGTTAGGGTTTTCTTGGTAACCCCTTCCCCTGCCTTGTCGATCATCTTGAGGCAGGCAACGATGTGGAAGTGATTTTTCCAAAACTCTTTGAGAGTGAGATTTGTCCCTTCGGTCACCTGAAAACAATGCTCGAAGAGTGCTTTAGTGTAGAGCTTCTTAAAGTTAGAAATAACTTGCTGGTCCATGGGCTGGAGTAACAGAGTGGTGTTGGCAGGCAGAAACTGGATCTTGACAAACTTAAATTATTCAAAGAGGTCATCTTGTAGGCCTGGAGGATTCATGTACATATATCACAATATAACACAAGTTTGAGAAAATGTGTGATCACAAGCGACACTACGATGCTACTGGAATAAGTGCTAAACAGACTGATGTAACATGTGCACAGTTCGGGACTTCCCCTCTCCCTGCCATTCGTTATGCGAAACGTCGCTCGTTAAGTAAGTCATTTTTTTTTACAATTTGTTTTGCTTGTTATGCGAATTACTCGTTATGCGAGGTGCTCGTTAAGCGAGGTTCTACTGTACTTAGTTTTGCAAAATTGTTCTACACACAAAGTGTAGGGAAACTTTACAAACACCCTGTATTTACTCAGTTTTTCCTCAAATTCACTTTCAGCCTGTTGATCAACTTTGTGGAAACCAGAAATGAACACAGACCTTGGCATGGGTATGCACTTGCAGCTTGCTTCTTTGTAGTCACTTTTGTGTACTCAGTGCTGTTCAATCAGAATTCATTCAGGTATGTGTTTATTTTATTAAGTTTTTTAAGCTACATTATTAAAGTTATTCATGTACAGTTTTTGACAGCTGGTCTAGGAAGGAATTCTGACAGGCCTGTGGACAGTCTAACTACTGCTATTTATTCTGAAGCTGCTTTAGCAGCATGCTTTATTTCAAGCACATTTGTGTGTTTTTTTTTTTTTTTTAAGTTAGCGAAGCAGGCCGAGGGTGCCATCAGGCTGCATGGATAGCATATGAATACTGTGTCATTGGGAAGAGAATGTTATTTCTGACTGACTGATGTTTAACGCCACCAGGACATCACAATGAGCAATAAACACCCAGTGACACAAAGTGCTGCTACCATTCGGATGAGGATTGACCGAGTTGCAATAGAGTTGTCAATTGATTGGTTATTCCTAAGGGTTTCTTGCGTTTCTTGAGAAGAATGTTGCAAACACTTTGGACTGCCAGAATGACTAACAATGATTTCCTGGAAATGGCTAATGAAAGTAGAACATTTTATACAACAATGAGACGAAGACAATTTTCTTTGGTCATGTGATGAGAAAAAGAGCAATGGAAAATATTATGACGACTGAAAAGATCACTGGTAGAAAAGGCAGAGGCAGAACAAGAGAAATGATGGTGGATGGCTTAAGACAATGGCATGGAGGAATATTATCAGGGGAATTGATTCAGAACAGCAAAGACCGACATCTATGGAGATTGATAAACACCTACGCCAGTTGGCAAGGCACTTGATGATGATGATTCTTATGTACAATTTGAGCAATTTCACTCATTGATTACAAAGATTTGAGATGGTAAAATTATATTTCTTTAAGTAGCTGTCTTTTTTTTTTTTTTAAGAGTAATATACATTTAAATGACTGTAAATAATGTTATTTTGAGTGATTTAACATCATCAAATAAACAGAGGACTTCACACACGCCTGTCTGCTCAATGGTCTAGGGGTTCGATTTCATGGATAATTATACAAAATGCTCAAAACTCAAAATTTCATCTTCTTTTCTTCCTCTAGTTTCTTAAGGTGAGTTTCCGAGAATTAAAAGGATGCTTTTTTTTTTTTTTTAAGATCATCAAGGGACAAATGGTTTAAGCATTTTCTCAGATAGATTACAAAGAACATTATCTATTTTGTGAAAGGCTGCCAACAATTCCTGCCCAAGTAATGTGATTATACAGATGGCTCTGTGTTGAGAGGCAGACAAAGTACAGGGGAGTTCGTCACAAAAGCAAATGGACGTCGCTTAGTGCAGCAAAGTCTGGCATATGATATCATAAAGTCTAGTTTATGAATAGAGTTGGAGGCAGTCACTGCTGCCTTCCGCTGGCTTGAGAATCAGCTGTACACACATGTCATAGTTGTATCTGACTCACAAAGCATGTTGAGGAAGGTGGAGACAGGCAAGTTCCATGCACAGTGGAAAGTATCACTTCAGATGTCCTGGTAGTTAGCGTCCTTTGGATTTTTATCTCCAGGTGATGCCAGTGTTTTGGGAAATGAGCAGGCAGATAGACTGATCAGCTCTGCACCACTTGGTGTGGAACTGATGTATGACAAGAAATAGTTAATTACCATTTGAAAAGAATAGCTCAGCGAGGAGTTACCAGGGAATCTGGCTGACGCCCAACACTCAAGGATAAGGTGAGATGAATATACAATCAGACAGTTACTGGTACCATTGAAAATGGCACTCTTCGCTCGCTGCTGAAGATTTGGACAGAGCGCTTATGGGATTATCCCGAGCGCTGTGATGTTGATTCTTTTTTCAACATGCAACAATTTTTTTTTTAAATGCTGCCAGTAATTTTGTGATAACCTGGTTCCCTTCCCCTCCCCCTTCTTTCTTCTCCCAGAGGTTCAAGTATAGGAATGAAAATAAAAACAGCACTGGTTGCTGCAGTATACAAGAAGGTAAAAATCTTCTTTTTCTTTTCTTTGTGTTCACCAGCTGTAAACCACGGCCAGCTCCAGATATAAAGCTGTACAGCTCAAACGGGAATTCCCATTTTTGTGAGGCTGTTGTGGCTGGTCAGTTGTAATAATTGTTATCGAGTAGATTTATACACAAATTGAACAACAGTTTAATTAATTTGCAACACGTCTTATTGAATAAATTATAATTTTGAATATATATATTTTCTAAAAGCCCCTTTATTTATCTTCAAAATAATAATTCATTCAATAACACATGTTGCAAATTAATTAAATTGTAGTTCAATTTGTATGTAAATCTACTCGATAACAATTGTTACAACGGAGGCCACGTCAGCCTCACAAAAATGGGAATTCCGCTGTACCGCCTGATATCTGGAAATGGCTGTGCTATAAACTTATGTCAGAAAGTTCTGGTTGTTCATCGACATCTGAACTTGCACACTCATTTTACAGATCTGACTTATTTGTGTGCAGACTGTTAGTTCTTTATCTCTCAGACACAGGCACCCAGACTTTTAAAAAAAAAACCATCCCTAATTAGTTGACTTTTACAACATGCTTGTTATACAGTTGTAAATTTATGTAGAATCAAACAGTTACCAGTACCATCAGAATTGAAAGTCTTCACTTGCTGCTGAAGATAGGGACAGAGCGCTTATGGGAGTATCCCGAGGGGTGTAATGTTGATTTATAATTCAACATTCTACAACATGCTTGTAAGGGAAGCAGTGGTTCTAATCCCCCCCTCCCCAGTTTGACCCTGAAACCCACACTGGGGAATGGTCATCATCAGGTGCCTTGCCGACTGGCGTGGGCGATCATGCCTCTCCATAATCCGCGATCTCCTGCAGCATGTATCAGTTTGTGTGCCGACACACCTCCATGCCATGCACAAGACTGTTAAGCATCTTCTCTCGTTGTCTTCCTCTATCTCTCCTTCCACATATCTTTCCAGTGGTCACAACATGATAGAGTGAATCTGTGGATGCATGTTTAGAGACTTGTTATTTTTCTTTGTTATTGATTGTTATCTTTGTTAATGTTTCCAAGACCAATTTAAGGTGTTAAATATAATATCTCTTCCTCCCTCCCACCCCCCCCCCCTTTCCCAACTTTCTGCTACCCCTCACTCTTCTGATAAGCACATGGCTTGATGAAAGGTGACTGAAAGTTTGGTGAAATCATATGTGTTTGAATGAGTGGTTCAGATATTGCAGCCTAGCCATAAAGCACAATACAATATGCCAACCATCCTTTCAAGGGAACTGACTGACTTTCTACCCCACCAGGACATCACACAAGCGATAAACAACCGATGACACAAAGTGCCACCATGCGGATGATGATCACCGTGGAGAGGTCCCAGAAACCGCGTTCAGACAATTGGCCATATTGCGGCCCCTGGCAAAAGCCAGAGTGGGGCTTCGAATAACAAAAAATTACGTCCTAAGAAGGACGTAACAGGGAAAATGCTGAACAAAATTTAGGAATATAAGAACAACAACAACAGCAAAACAAACAAACTTGAAATGAAGCTAAATTATTATCAATTTTCTGTACAAATTCAGTCTCTGACGATGAACCCGCAAACAAAAAGGGTGTTCACTATGGGAAACATTGTCAACCTTATGGCCATTGATTGTCAAGTTTTACAGGATGTGACCTCTAACCTCTACATTGTGATATCAGCACCATTTCAGGTGAGGGTCTTTGTCTTAACTGGTCTTTGTGTTTATTAAACTAGCAACATTTTGAAAATCATAAATTTGTTAGAGAAATTGGAAATACACAATCATGTTATGATCTAAAAATTATTTGGAAGCTGCAGAGATGTGGTTTTATAGACGATGGTGAGAATACCATAGGCAAATAAAAATAGTGATGAGGATGTCTTGAAAGAAGTAGACTAATGAATGAACTGATTGCCCACATCAGAAAGGCATGATCTACATTCTTTGGTCACGTGATGAGGAGTAGAAAACTGGAGTATATTATGACAGCAAGACAGTTGGAGGGGAAGAGAAGCCGAGGGAGACCAAGAGAAAAGATTCTGAACAGTTTGACATCATTGCACGGAGGATCATCTGTGTCAGAGTTGACCGAAAGTACACAAGACATAAGGCGGTGGATAGAAATGACTACCAACGCTACATGGCATGGACTTTAAGAAGACGTTATGATCCCTGTCATCCCCAACAGTCTGCTTTCATATAAGCCAGATCTGTAAAATAGATGTCCTGCATACCTCAAGTTCTCGAACAAACCTAAGTCCAGAGGTGGATGAACAACCAGAACTTTCCTGCCGGAGTTTACAGCCGGTGAACAAAAAGTAGAAAAAGATCCCATTACTATTCCAATATCCTGGAACTCAGCCTCTTTAATCCCCTTATGGGTTCCTGGGCCCTATTATAGGGGAAACAAGAATAGACCCACTGCCTACCCAAAAGCATGTTGTAAGAGTCGACTAAATGGGAGCTTTCTTCGAAGTCGGAGTCCATTTGCCTGAGAGGCAAGGAACCAACAGTCTGCACACAAATGAGTCAGATCTGTCAAACGGATGCACCAGAACCTGACTGGTTCTGAAAAGAAATCTGGCTAGATATTTTGCTAGGCAGCATATCAAATCTTGCCACTTTACTTTTAAGTAAATTAACGGATTCTGATTTATTTGGGTTGTTATTCACTGTGGATCACATTCTTTCAAAATCTTTGACCAGAAGAGTTGATAAAACAAATAGACGAGAATAGAGGTGAAAACAGAAGAGAATAAGAAAGGTGTTTTGTCTTTGAACTAATCAATGAATTGAAGGCAGAGTTATTTGATAGTGAAAGAATTAGTATCAGTAAACATAAGCAAAAGAGAAGAGGAGACTGTGGATGCCGAGAAATACCTGGATCTAACATGTGGCAAACTGGATGGGCTTCAAATAAAAACAGAATTTAAAGTACAACACAAGTGAACACCAGACATGGAAATAACTGTTGGTACAATCACTAACCTGGTGGCCTAACCACAAACAGTATTTTTAGACCATCAACATCAACATCATCTTTCGGTCTCATGCTGCTGTAATTATTAATAACATAACATAACCCTTGACCTGTTAGGGTCGTGGCGGTGTATCGATGGAAGTACTAGCACAAAAACACCCACCATATTTCTTTGTCTTTCGCTCAATGAATGAGTTGAGTTGAGTTGAGTCAAGAATTGACATCATGGCACTTAGGGCATTCCCATGCATGCTCCATCCTCATCTTCAACAGCCAGCTCAGAGTTCCAATAATGATGGTACTGGTCACAGTCTGGTTATATGTGTGTCTTGCCTTTCCTCTGAGTGTAGGGAGCTGGTCAGACCCTCTGGTTACACCCAGATGTCTCATTCTCTCCAGGCCATAAAAATCTTCTATAATAAAAAATAAATATAAAGAATTCTATAATGAATAAGTGCATGGTAATGTAGTCATGTCCATTTCTTGATGTTGTCATTCCAGATTCTTCTTTGTCATCTTCTTCGACTACCTTCAGTGTTCCTTGAAGTGCAGTCTTTGCAATCAAATCATGTCACACCACGTGTCAAAACCAAGCTAGCATAATATTACACAAGGCTTGAATCTAAACTTCCATTCCATTCCATCTTACGCAATCCTTCAATATTGTAGATGAAATCCAGTCCAACAACTTTGACTTCTCCAGATATTTCTCTTATTTTTAGGACTATTAAGCCTAAAGGACCCTTCTCCGCACCTTCAGGCATGTTGGGCATATAGGGCTGGACCTATATTATATAGACCAATCAGCACTAGGTGGTTGATGTGGTCAGCATTACATTAGTCACCTTTACTTCCCACGACTGTTACCTGGTACCAAATTAAGGCTGGGTCAACGTGGGATCCAAGGTGTTTTTTTTTTTTTTAAGTCTAAATCCTTTCAGATTTGAACCCATGACCTTTAAATCCACAGTTGAATGTCTAGCCCCTTCACCTTTGGAGTATAAAAAGTATCTAATTGTAGTTTTTTTCTTCTTCAGATTTGTGTAGCATTCTACTTTCTGAATGATACCTTGGGTGTTTCCTTTGTGGCGGGTGTCGCAGTGATTGTTGCGTTGATACCCTTGAATGCCAGAATATCTGTGCTGGCCAAACGGGCGCAGGCTGAACAATTAAGGGTCAAGGACGAGAGGCTGAAGATTATGAATGAGATACTTAGTGGAATCAAGGTGAGAATTCTCCTCTGCTTCTTCTTCCTTTATTGTTATCATTATCATCAACGTTTTTTATATTTTCTCATTGTTTCCTATGTTTCATAATCCTCCTCCTCCTATTCTCTCCCCTTTCCTCTTCATCCTTCATCTCCTTTTCATCCTTCCTCCAAATTATTATTTTTTTTTATCATTATCATCAACATCATCATCTCCTTCATCTCATCATTATTCTCCTCTTTCTCCTTACCTTCCTCTTCCTCCTTACCTTGTGAAGAATAAGACCTTTCAAAATGTAAATCTATCTTCTGCTAGCCATATTCTTTTCCAGTAATCCCATTTTCTGTAATCTAGACATGCTCATTAGTTATTGTCTTTTCTGAAAACTCTCTTCAGTGTTGGTTGAATTCTTTGGCTAAAGTTTTCTATATAATTTAGCACAACCCCCATATTAACCCTCCTGTGTTTCCTTTAACAACATTCCTTGGAAGTTTCCCTATTATAATTTATTGATTCCCTTTTAGATCATGGCTTGTAAGTTTTTGTATGACAGTTTATCGCCTCCCTTTAGATCAAATCTTGTCATCCCCATGTAAAAGAAATTAAAGGACCCTCTTCACGCCTATAGGACATATAGGCATATAGGACATATAGGGCTAGACCTATATTTTTATAGACCAATCGGCACAAGATGGTTGATGTGGTCAGCATCACGCTGGCTGCCTTCACTTCCCGGAACTGCACCCGGTACCCACTCAAGGCTAGGTCGACCTGGGAGCAAAGGTAATTTTTTTTTTAAAGTTTGGCTCCACCAGGGAGCAAACCCGTGACCTTCTGATCCGTGTCGACGCCCACCATGGCTTTTCACGGGGGCCCTAAATATAGCCTACCTGGAATATGGCCTAACAGCTGAACAGGGTTTCCAGGACCTCTCCACGGGTGATCCTCATCCGCATGGTGGCACTTTGTGTCACTGGGTGTTTATCGCTTGTGTGATGTCCTGGTGGGACAACATTCAACATTCAACATTCATCAAATTCACTAAAAGCATTTTTGACATTCACAAAATGGTTATCACATTCACACACACACACACACACAAACACACGCACCCACCCACCCACGCCTGCACGCACGCACGCACGCGCGCGCACACACATATACACATACACGCACACACACAAACACACACTAACTTCTTCACTTTCACAAAAAAGTTTATCCCCTTGACTTTATTTCAGGTGACAACCACAACATTTATAATGTACATTTTCGTGTCACATCAAGGAAGCCTGGACTCCAAAACAGTTTTTGTCTCCCTGATCCTGTTCAACATCCTATACATCCCCATGAGTACAATTAACTTACTTACCTTCCTTTAGATCATGCTAATAGATACATAATTTTTAGTGAAGATGATGGAAGCTGTGGATTTTTTTGCGAGACTGAGGGCAAACTGGCAAAGTCAAAGAATCACACCAAAACATCAAAAACCACCATTACGGCATCCACAAACCAAAGATTAACAGAAAACCTTTCATGAGATAGGTTCATCCCAAGTTTCTGATCAACCTGAAGTTCTCCAGAAAACAAAATAAGATGGTTGTCAAGGCTGTCGCTGACAAATACAAAGTAAACCCTTTGGGAAGCGTTTACGAGAGAATTTAATAAATTTTGCTGTCTTTGAATAAAAAAACATTATTTAAAGATTGTGAAATTTGATTCTATTAGGTGCTCAAACTGTATGCATGGGAGGAATCATTTGAAGACCGTATTCTCGAACTTCGAGGGAGAGAACTGAAGCTGATGAGATCAGCAGCCATCTTGAATATCATTAATGTATTCAGTTGGCTATGTTCACCTGTACTGGTATGTATATAGTAAATAATGTTAATCACATGGTTAGTTTACAAATTTCATGTTTAGGTGTGTAGTGAAATAATTAACTATGTGATTTGTGTATTGTGGTTGAGAGGGTTCATTTTTTGTGTATTATAATATGTTGATGTCGCCCGTGTGTCACCGGGGCCCTCACGGGAAGCAAAGAATAGTGACACTGCACCCTACCAGGCATGTCGTAAGAGGCGACTAAGGGTAGGGTTGGGCTTGAGGCTGGCTACCTCATCCTGTAAAAACCATAGCCACAAAAACCAACCAACCATGGATAAGTCAAAAAGAGAAGCAAATAAAATCCAGCCAACCAAGATGAGGGGAGGCTCTTCAAATAGAAGAAGTATGACACGGTGTGGAGAAAGCCGTAAGGAGTCTGGATCGTTGACTTACCTCCTCTCAGCTAGGAAAACCTCCAGAATTGGCACCTGGAATGTTAGAACTCTCTATGATATAGGGAGAACAATGGAAGTAGCAAAGGAAATGAAACATTAACCCACAGTGGCATAGGAATAAAGGAAGGCAAAAAAACACATGGAGAAGAGAGCTGGAGAATGAGGTTAGAAAGATTGGGAGGACATGGGGAGAGCTCCATGTAATGGCGAAGGATAGAACGACTTGGCGTGAGTTGGTTGAGGGCCTATGCTCCATTGGGGGATAGAAAGGCAGAAGAAGAAGAAGAATATGTTGATGTCAATTTTATAGTATGCACCTGATAAGATACGGTGAAATATGTTAATCACATAACAATAACCCAAAAAAAGATTTTTGTCACATTCATAACAGTGTACATTACCAGGCTTTGATTGCAGATACAGCAATGAATTTACAATGTCTTACATCCATGAATGAAGAATGTAAATCAAATAATATGAGAATCAACATCGAAACTACAGAAGTAATGTCAATAGGAAGAAAGAAGCAGAAATTAAATATAGCATTACAGCATACATACATTAGACAGGCATCTAAGTTTAAATATCTTGGAACAACATTCACTGAAGATGGTGTATTGGATGAAAAATTAACATTCGATGAAGTAAAGCAGGCCAAGTACTGGGACAGTTAGTTCCCCTCTTACAGCATAAGGCGATCCCAATCAGCAGAATGAGACATCTCATACAAAGCATATTCATTCCCACCCTATGCTGTCAGTGCCAGACGTGGTCTCTCAAAACCAGACATAAACCAAAATTAGTTACCATGGAAATGAGGTGTCTGAGAAAGACTGTAGGAGTGACCAGAAGAGATAAATCAGGAATGAGGTCATACGAGATAAAGTCGGCAGAGAACCAATTCTAAATTACATACAAAAACAGCAAATCAGATGGTTTGCTCACTTGGAGAGAATGCCTTCTGATGCTGTACCATACAAGGCATATACAAAAATAGGAGAAGGAAGTTGAGCAAGAGGTAGACCAAGAACAAGATGGAAAGATAACATCAGAGAAACTTTACAGCACCATGATGTGTCTATAGTCAAAGCAGCCAGAAGAGCACAAAGCAGGACCCTTTATCATCCCTTAAAACCTGAAGCGGTAAAAAAGGATGTAAAGAAGAAGAAGTACATTACATTCAGAAAATTGTCATCTCATCCACAACAATTGTCATCGCCGAACATTGGGATCTCAAAGCGTGAGCTGGGTATTCCAGGGATCTGGTATTTACGTAAACCAGAGCCTAGCTACCAACTCAAACCGACACAATCGGACCACCTGTAACAAATAATGGATAGAATCATTGTGAGGGTTCACCTAACATTTTACACACATCTTCACAACATGATTAACCCATTCTTATTGGAGGAAGACCACTACAAGACCACTTTGGTCACACACATATTTTCACATTTCCAAACCCAAAAACTGTTTTCAGTACTTTTTGGCAAAGTAAAATACTCAAAATTTTAAATATAAATGGTGGTCCAAAGGACGTTATTTTGAGAAGCTCGCTCTCCCACGAAATACGCCTGGCCAAATCAGGAGCTGAAACCAAGGAGGAAACATCAGAAATGAAAGGGCAAGAAGAACACAGTTGACAACAGGATAGGGAATGAGCGGTCTGACATGGAGGGACAGAAGCATTAGGCCCAGAAACGGCACAAATACCAGAACTTTAGCCATGAAAGTTGTGCAAATAAACAAAACCACAAATATAGCTGGAGACTGTTGGCAGCTTCAGCTAGCTAGCAGCAGGTTAAACATGGTTGAGTTGTTGATTTTTTTCTTGAAAGAACTGGAATTGATGACTGACCAGTCTACACACGGACGCCCTGGTCGGGTTCTGCAGGGTTAGCACCTGTAGATAAAAGGACAAAGAGAACACCACACAGATAAGGATACGCCATGGCCATGTCCCACAAAACTATCCAGGAAGTCAACCTGGTCAACAAATGTTTGATAACGTCCCATAGTTTGGCCAAAAGGCACAAATATCGCAGCCCTGCTGTAAACCGGCGCAATGCATTTATGTCACTCAGATGAATGAAAAGAAGAAGAAGGGGAAGATTGTTACTGGGCCATCAGATCTGGAACTCTTTGCTTGCTGCTGAAGCTGAGAACGGAGCACTTATGGGAGTGTCCTGAGGGCTGAGATGTCGATTCTTCATTCAACATTCATCATATTTACTAAGAAAATTTTTGACATTCACAAAAATGTTATCACATTCAAACCCCCCCAAAAAAAATTCTTCGCATTCACACAAATGTTTATCCCCTTTACTTTATTTCAGGTGACAACCACAACATTTATAACGTACATTTTTGTGTCACATCATGGAAGTCTGGACTCCAAAACAGCTTTTGTCTCCCTGATCCTGTTCAACATCCTGTCCATCCCCATGAACCGACTTCCCAACCTCATCACGGACCTTGTCTCGGTAAGAAACCTCCTACCTCATGTTAATAATTTCACTATCTTGTCAATCATAACTGAGGTTAGCAAATAAAGTTTATAAAGTTGTTGTTGTTGTTACTGATCCAGCGCACTGTGCATGATTTATGGTTCTCAGGCACATGTATCCATTGGGAGGTTAAACAAATTCTTATCAGGAGAAGATCTGGACCCTAACAATGTCATTAGGGAGAAAAGACCAGAAAAGACGAGTTTTGAAGATCAAGTGCAATCACTAAGATTAAGAGCTGCTGGCAGAAGTGAGTTATGTGCCCTTGTTTAATTTCCATAATGCATATGTAGCAGCAGTAGCCATAGCATCAGCAACAGCAGCAGCAGTAGTAGCTTATGCAATGATATCTCACATAACCCACCTGTGTGATAATTGATACGTGTATAATGTATATGTGATTGGCAGGTAAAAGCAAAGAAAATGCTGGTTCAGTAAATATTAAGGTCATGCTTAAAAAACATGCAAGTTATTATTATCTAACAGACGGAGTGATAGACTTCAGAGTAAAGATATGTACTAAATAGAAATTTTCAAATGTGTATATTTTTATATACCAACTGCCACATTGAACCATACTGAAGAAACTTAATGAGTACAGAACAAGAGGAAGGCAACTCTAAATATGGACTGACAACATCAAGAACAACTTTAGAGTAGTGAAGACCAGCTTACATGACATATTAAGAACACACAGAAGACCCCCCCCCCCCCCCCCCCCCCAATATTTTACCCCTCAGCACTTCACTGAGGTAACAAGGAGGAAAAGACAAGAAGATACATTATTATTGGATTTTTATTAAATGTATTTAATTATAAAGTATGAAAGTTCAAAATGTTTAGACTATGAAAACTTCCAGACATTTGTGATTTGGGAATAAGTATTCTTTGTACAATAATATCAGAATAAATTAGCTGACAGACTGAAAGAATTCCCAAACATGAAACTAGATCCTGATGCAGAATTTTGGAGTTCCTGGCAGAACAGCTCTAGAAATTGTGTGCTGTAGGTTAATTAGAAAGATCATGCTTCATACATTGCACCTGACATTTTAAACTGTGAACATATATTTAACAAAGAAGATTAATTTAAAGTTGGGTTTTTAATCAAGCATCTGAGGTTACTTCAGTTTGCTGAAGCAACAGCTATTATCCATTCTTACCCTGTATTTGGAAGCAACAGAGATGTGGTTTTTGAGACAAATGTTACGAATACCTTGGACGGCCAGAATAACTAACAATGATTGCTTGAAAGAAGCTAATGAAAGTATATCTCTGTATACAACCATAAGAACAGGCAACCAGGGATCGTGATCTGTGGAGACGCATGATCACCTATGCCAGTTAGCAGGGCACATGAAGATGATGATGATGAGTCAGTATTGACTAGGCAAAAAGACCTCCATGTAAACTTAATTCACCCTGGTAAAACAGGCAGTTCACTTTAAAGGTAGAGTACATTTATATTGTTTTTCATTTATTTCTGAACAGATGCTATATCAATAACTAGTGGCACCTTTCTTTGGGATCGTTCCATGCCACCTACGCTTAAAAAGTAAGTTACATATATGAAGGCTATTGTTATTACCTTTTATCTTTTCAGCCGGCTTTAATTAAGTTGATGTCAGCTTTTTCCCACCATTGTTTGTCTCTTTTCCTCAACTCTTGAACCTGAAAGATACTTTTTTATGATTAGTTTCTATTTTTCATTAGAATCTAACTATCATGTCTCTTCACCTGCCTCTTCCTCTCCTTTTCTTGATCTTTCCCATTGTCAGTTCTCTAATGTTTTCTCTCTCCATATGGCCAAATAACACTTTGTCACATCTTGGAGGATGGTAGGATCTCTAAGGATATCCTCTATTGTAAATTAGAGATACATAGAAGATGTTGAAGTCAGCCTCTGCTACAGTTTTAAAATGTGTGCAGGTGGGATATGAATGACAAAAGTATTGAGGTGGATTCATATGACCATGTGCCATAGATTGCATCCCATGGAAGGGACAAATTAGGAAGGGATTTGGGACAACAGAGAAAAGGAATGCAGACAGGTTAAGAGTTGAGTGTATGACTAACAAAAAAATTAGAGATGTCAGATACACGAGGAAAAGACAGAAAGGTATCAAGAAGATAGTGTGTATAATGTTTTTACCACTTTGCTGTCCCAGCTGAGATAAAAAGACAAATTATAAATACAATCTTTATACCGACATTAGGTTATCAATGTCAGACTTGGACATTAACAAAAGAACACGAGAGAAGACTAACCACCTGTGAAATGAGATGTTTGAGAATGGCTGCGAATAAAACCAGAAGAGATCGAGTGAGAAACGATGTGATTACAAGAACTATTGGAACCATACCCATCGTTAAATTTATTGAGAAGCAAAGAATGAAATGGTTTGGTCACCTAGTGAGAATGGAACCAACGATGCCAGCATCAAGAGCATACAACATGAAAATCGAAACACCAAGAGGCAGGGGAAGACCAAGAAGAAGATGGATTGAAGGAGTCACGGACAACTTGAGACTTCATAACATCACGGCATATGAAGCGACTGAGCGTGCCCTGGCTCGGTTGCCGATCATCTGATAGACTGCGACGCCTAGCGGCACAAGCAGATTTTGACAAAAGAAGAATTACGCTATAATATTATAAATAATATTATAGATAATAGAAAGTGCAAAAAAGGGACTTTCCTTGAAGGTCAAGAAAACAGAAACAATGGTTATATAAAAGAAGAAGAGAACTCTAAAATGTGACATAGCAATAGAGGGGAAGGTGCTTAACCAAGTCAGTAAATTCATAACATTAGGTGGATGATGTATTACAGCAGTTAAGAGTAGAATTGGCCAGGCAAATGCAGCATTTCAGAAGATGAGAAGTATCTTACATAATAAATCACTCTCATTAAACATCAGAAAGTGAGTACTGAAATGTTATATCCAATGTTGTATGGCATTGAATCTTGGAATGTGAGCAAGCAAATTAAGAAAAGTTTGCAGGCAGCTAAGATGTGGTTTTAGAGAAGAATGTCGTGAATACCTAGGACTGCCAGAATAACTAACAATGATTGCCTGGAAATGGCTAATGATAGTAGAACATTATACATAACAATAAAAAGGAGTCTATACCCATGTAGAATAATTACATAAGGTATTTTACCAGCTTGCACGTAAACCGGCTAACAGCCATATTGAACACTACGACACAACCACTGCAGAAATAAAAGGCATTCCATAGGAAAAACACAGCTCACAGGGCTGCAACCAAGCACTAAACTCAGTAGGACAGGCAGTGAAATCATTCAGATGAAGTGACTTACATAAGATGCTCTTAAATTTTTTTTTTTTTTAACTTGCAGCTTTTGATTGACCTATTTATCTCTTAACCCTTTCACCCTGGGAACTCCAAAGAAAAAGACTATAAAGTCAAAAATTCCTGAAAGAAATATTTTTTTTAAAAGAACCATTTCACACAGGTCACTAATAAATTTGTTTGTACATTGATTTGTAGATATTAAAATGTTTTTAATAAATATATGACGAAAAGAAATCATGAAAAATGAGCAGAGTGGAGAATTAAATGGAATATAGTCTTTTGTGCCTAAAGAATTTTACGGCGACTGTGACCCTATCACTTTATGATGACTGGAGGTTGTCAAAGTAAACCCCTCCCCTTACCCCCATATGCTGATTTTAGTAAATATTATCATATCCGAAGAGGGTGCTAAAATGTTTCACAGAACCTGTTCTGCTCAATGGCAGCAAATCTTGGAATGTCAGTAAACAAAATAGGAGGAATGTGGAAGCAACAGAGATGTTGTTTTTTGAGACGAATATTACGAATAACTTGGACGGCTAGAGTAACTAACTATGATTGCTTGAAAGAAGCTAATTAAAGTAGATCTCTATATACAACAATAAGAAAGAGACAAACACCTTTCTTTGGCCATATAAAGAGAAGAGAGACATTGGAGAACATCATGACGATGGAAAGATCAGTGGAAAAAAGGGTGGAGGCAGACCAAGAGAGATGATGCTGGATGGGCTGAAACAATGATATGGAGGGATATCATCAAGAGAGCTGTTCCAGGCCACCAGGGATCGTGATCTGTGGAGACGCATGAACTCCTATTCCAGTTGGCATGGCACATGATGATGATGATAAATCAAATCCGGCCATCTTAAAGACTGTGATCATCATAAAGACTGTGATCATCTTAAAGACTGTGATCATCTTAAAGACTGTGATCATCTTAAAGACTGTGATCATCATAAAGACTGTGATCATCTTAAAGACTGTGATCATCTTAAAGACTGTGATCATCATAAAGACTGTGATCATCTTAAAGACTGTGATCATCATAAAGACTGTGATCATCTTAAAGACTGTGATCATCTTAAAGACTGTGATCATCATAAAGACTGTGATCATCTTAAAGACTGTGATCATCTTAAAGACTGTGATCATCTTAAAGACTGTGATCATCATAAAGACTGTGATCATCTTAAAGACTGTGATCATCTTAAAGACTGTGATCATCTTAAAGACTGTGATCATCTTAAAGACTGTGATCATCATAAAGACTGTGATCATCTTAAAGACTGTGATCATCTTAAAGACTGTGATCATCTTAAAGACTGTGATCATCTTAAAGACTGTGATCATCTTAAAGACTGTGATCATCTTAAAGACTGTGATCATCATAAAGACTGTGATCATCATAAAGACTGTGATCATCATAAAGACTGTGATCATCTTAAAGACTGTGATCATCTTAAAGACTGTGATCATCATAAAGACTGTGATCATCATAAAGACTGTGATCATCATAAAGACTGTGATCATCATAAAGACTGTGATCATCTTAAAGACTGTGATCATCATAAAGACTGTGATCATCATAAAGACTGTGATCATCATAAAGACTGTGATCATCATAAAGACTGTGATCATCATAAAGACTGTGATCATCATAAAGACTGTGATCATCATAAAGACTGTGATCATCATAAAGACTGTGATCATCTTAAAGACTGTGATCATCATAAAGACTGTGATCATCATAAAGACTGTGATCATCATAAAGACTGTGATCATCATAAAGACTGTGATCATCTTAAAGACTGTGATCATCATAAAGACTGTGATCATCATAAAGACTGTGATCATCATAAAGACTGTGATCATCATAAAGACTGTGATCATCATAAAGACTGTGATCATCATAAAGACTGTGATCATCATAAAGACTGTGATCATCTTAAAGACTGTGATCATCATAAAGACTGTGATCATCATAAAGACTGTGATCATCATAAAGACTGTGATCATCATAAAGACTGTGATCATCATAAAGACTGTGATCATCATAAAGACTGTGATCATCATAAAGACTGTGATCATCATAAAGACTGTGATCATCATAAAGACTGTGATCATCATAAAGACTGTGATCATCATAAAGACTGTGATCATCATAAAGACTGTGATCATCATAAAGACTGTGATCATCATAAAGACTGTGCAAGCACAAACAGAAGCAATGCCATAAACTAGGAAACCTGTTGTAGGCAGGCCAGTGCAGCGGTTGCTTGTTTAAAAACTTTCATGGGAATGGTAATGAATGGTCTGGATATCAACATTGGAAGGGGGAAGGGAGGCTAATCTCCGTCAAACAACTTTTTTATAATATTAGATGTTAGGTTACTACTCTAAATGAAACTGTATATGGCAAGTTACCCTATACTTAATTTTTTTCTTTGTTTTTAGCATTAATTTAACCATTGGAGAAGGAAAGCTTGTGGCTATTGTTGGCCAGATGGGTGTTTTTATGTAATATTAGAGGTTAGGTTACTCTAAATGAAACTACATGCCAAGTTATACTATACTTAATTCTCTATATTTTCAGCATTAATTTAACCATTGGAGAAGGAAAGCTTGTGGCCATTGTTGGCCAGATGGGTGCGGGTAAGTCATCGCTGCTTGCTGCAATACTAGGTGAGATGGAGAAACAGTCCGGTGAAGTCACTGTTAGGGTGAGTTTACCTGAGATTTTGTTTGCCTGCTAACCTAAACTTTCTGCTCTTCTACCTGCCTATCTGACTGCCAATCTGTCGGTCTGTTTGTCTAATTATAATTATAAGTGTACTCTCCAGCCAAAATATCCATCAATCTCCAGTGCCAGTCTACTTTCCTATTCATCCATTTATCAATCCACTCAATCATTGATTTACCTATTAATTTTAACTTCTTCTCTATGTCTATTCATTTATCCTTCCTTTTCGCCATTCATTTATTCATTTGTGGATCTAATGATTTATTTATCTTTTCATCCATTTAGCTATTCATCTATCCATAAATTCACCTATCCATTTGTTCATTTTTGTTAAATGTTCTATAATCTGATTTTTTAAGTTAGTTGTGTATCCTTCACAGGACATTCCAGAATCAATGCCCAGCATTTTTTGACTGTTGTGGTTTTTCTAGGGACATTTATGCCTAGTGGTTTGCCATTGCTTTCTGGATGGTCGGCTTCTTGATACCACTGTTGAGACCAGCACAAGGCCTGCAGCACCCCGGCATTACGAAGCGCGTTTCACAACGCCTAAGCCACAGACACCATAATTTGGTTTATTCTCTATTTTTTAAATTCCTTCCCCTTTTCTCTAAAAAATGCCAGTTCAGTTTCAGTTTATTTATATCTGTTATGATGTCCACATTTTCAGGGGTCAATCGCATATGTCCAGCAGCAAGCATGGATACAGAATATGACAGTTAAACAAAACATTCTTTTCGACAAGCGCTACCACCACAACCGCTACACGCGTGTCATCAGAGCATGCTCGCTGCAGCAGGACTTGGAAATTCTTGTGGGTGGTGAGAATGCAGAAATCGGTGAACAGGTAAGATTGATTTTTGTTTAGTTATAAATTTTTTCTTGATTTTAATTTAAAAATTCTGAAAATGGAGAGATTTGGTGGTAGTGTGAAGGTTTTATTTTTTTATTTTATGAAATTTCGGAAATTAGTGAACAGTTGAGCTTGATTTATTTCTTGTTTCTGGGTGTGAACAAAAATATAATTTGTAAATGTTATTCTTTTTTATATTTGTAAGTGTTTAATTTTATGAGAATACACACACTGATGAAACAATTAAATTTGTACCTTTTGTCTGTTTCTGTTGTTATTTTTTAAAATATTTTTATGAGAATACAGCAGTATCTGTGGTTGGGCGGAGGGGGTGATCACACTCAGACATGTTAATTGCTCTTTTAAAAAAATTGTATTTAGTTCCTTTTCACTAAAAATCTCAAAGTTGGAAATATATCCTCTATCCAAGTAGTTTCTGTAACATTCATGTCTATAATTTAATGTGAATGAAGGAAAGCATGATTGCAGAAAGTATGAGAGCTGAGCATCTGAGAAGAAACAGACCATACACAAATATTGGCAGCAACATCCTGAAACCCTACTATTGGGGAAGACTTTTCTTAACGCGGGCGGGTCTTGCTGGTCACACACACCATCACCATCACATGCCTTCTCATAGCGCAATACACCACTATCGTCTGGAAATATCAGGAAAAGATATAAAACCGAACGAAAAGTATATCAGCAGGCTTCACAATGTAAAAAACACAAAACAAAACGTGAACGTTGCGGTTATGGAGTGTTCTTCAGCACATACATAGAATAGACAATACTACACAAATACACAATATCACTTATCTTTATATCTTGTGGCAGCCAGGTCGATGTCAAGACAATAGTCTGGTGAGGCACGTGGGGCCGGAAATCATCTAGAAAGACTGAAAGGTGCCAATCCAGTCATATCTAATATGTATAATTTTACACTATTCTAATTTTTCTTATTTATACACCTTACATCTATTCTATGATGCAATGCCCAGAATACTCAACAGCAAGTGAACCTGGTGAAACAGGCCTCCTCTAGCATTAGACTGTGTGTTCAAAATTGTGATGACCTTTTAGTAACTTTGAAAAATATAATAGAAGTCTGAATATTCTTATCATATGCAGCAAACATTCAAGTCCTATTTCTATTTTAGTGATACACAAATTTAACTTTCAGTCCTGGAAGGTTGTTAATTTATAACTGTCTCCCAGATTGTGACTTCATTAATGTAACAAGCTTTTAGTCTTAGTAAGCTCAACTAATACTGTTACAGGAGAGTAGTTGTTAAAATTACAGTAACAAAAATGAAACAACTTGTTTAGCCATAGTTGTGGGTGGGCTCCCCTTATCTCCTGGCAACACAATTTTTTTTTTATAGACCAAATCCTGTACTGCTATTGTATATAAATTGTTGAAATTTTTCAGGGTGCAAACATGAGTGGAGGACAAAAGCAGCGTATTTCACTGGCCAGAGCTGTGTACTCAGATGCAGACGTGTATTTGTTTGATGACCCCTTGAGTGCCGTGGACACACATGTTGGCAAGCACATATTCAAATGTGTCATCAGCAACAATGGCATGCTGAAGAAAAAGGTATCACTGTTTGTGATAATGTAGACCAAAGTTATATTTTAGTCTTTGAACTTCCACAGAAAACTTGAAGAAGGGAGCTAGAGAGTGGAGTTTAAAAAAGATTGGGTAGGTCATGGGCTGAACTGCATGCAGCTGTGAAGGATAGAATGACTTGGTGAGGGTTTGTTGAATGCCTATGCTCCATTGGGGGTTAGAAGACAGAAGAAGAGGAAGAAATCTATCCTTATGGATAATTAAAGGGATTTATGGTACCATTATTCTATCTTAAGATATAAAACCACCATATATGCTAATCCCTGTTTTTGATGTACTGTTCAATTCTTCCCTGCAATTCTCTGAAGCCATCTACTACCAAGCATGTTTTTTCTATTGTCATAAACTTTTTGAAGTGGATGACAATTCTTTTCTTTTCTGTTACTCAGAATAACAGCAGCCTTGATAACAGCTGACATCTGTGGCTTAGGTGTTGTTGCTTCGTAATGCCGGGGAACCGGGTTTGATCCCATCTGCAGACGATTTGGCAGCAGAACGTCTTGCATTGGACCATTTAGAAAGCAGTGGCAAACTACTGAACATAAAATTTGCCTAGAAAAACCACAACAGCCTATAAATGCTGGGGTTGTTCTTCAAAGTCCTGTAAAGGATACGCAGCTAACTGACAACAGCAGCACTTATTCTCGTCAATGTTTTATGCTGCCTTGCATCTTGTGCCCTACAGGGTTGCAGTCCGCAGATTCAACACTTTCAGGATGAGAATCCTAATTAAACAAATACTGGTAAGCCGTGTTCAACCATAATATTATATTAGGGCCCACGACAGTTCCGAAGCAACCAGAAGAGAGACCGGGCGGGTAATCAATCAATCAGGTGCCGTCTCCATTGTTAAGGTTGCTCTCTTACCTCCGACCTTTCCATCCTGTATGGTTTTTAAAAGTGCGATGTCTTTTAATGTGGCCAGAGTATGTCGGTTGTTTATTTATTTCCATAATTTTCTTTTCATTTGTAGCCACCTTTCCAGAACCTCTGGATTGTGTGAAATACAACCTATTCTTCTGTATACCCACATTTCCAGAGACTCAATTTGATTTTCTAGTTGCTTGTTCAGGTCCAAGTTTCTGCACCATATAGCAGGACTAAATATACATAACATTTGAAGATTCTTATTTTTAGTGTGTGTGTGTATGTGTTTATCTCTCTAGCTGTCGGTAACTTGCGCATCTTATTGGAGACAGTTTTAACCATTTCTATTCTCTGTTTGATTTCTGTTTTGTTTCTTCCATCATCTGTTACTGTTGGCGGGGAATGAACTTTTTCTAATTTGAACAAAGAAGAGACATAAACAATAGACTGCACAGTTTATTGTCTGGCATATTTCACTGTATCTCGTCAGGTAGAAACTACAATAACAGTTGAACAAAGTGAAGCAAATAAGTGAATCCTTTTATAACTGAAGTACAAAAGCAACTCTTAAAAGCAACTGCTGGTTTTACCAGGGCAAGCACAGATTCAACAAGCAGCTGGCCAAACTGTTGAGTGACACTGAGCTCTCATGCGAAGGACCCAGGTTCAAATCCTTGGTAAATTTGGGGATATTTTTCTGTCGGGGGCAAAAATAAAGTCCTCTAACCTGCACAGTTTGTGGTGACAGCATTAGCCTTTTGGCCTTAAATCTTCAGGCTCAACCACTTTTTAGTGAATGGATGTATGAAAAGATAGATGTTGTGAGGGCCCTTGCGAGCGAGTGAACAGTGCTGAGGCACAGATAGATCATTACGGTCTGAGGAGAATGGCACTGCAAGGAGTTACAAGGGGATCTAGCCAATACTCGACACTCAGGGGAAAGGCAAGATGGATATACAATCAGACAGTTACTGGTACCATCAGAATTTTAACTCTTCGCTTGCTGCTGAAGATGGGGATGGAGCACTAATGGAGATGTCCAAGTGCTGTGGTCTTGATTCTTAATTCAACATTCAACATTCAGACTCAACGACTCACCTGCCCCCACCACGAAAGTGCTAAATACACTAATGACAGTTTTTTTTTTAATTTTAAAGCCAGTTTCACTAACTAATTAGGTGTTACTAATTTGATGTTTTCTCTCATTTACTTTTAACCTCAGACTCGACTGTTAGTTACTCATGGAATCCATTGGCTTCCCATGGTTGACACAATCGTGGTGTTAGACCAGGGTAGAATCATTCAGCATGGTCTTACGAGGAGCTTCTGTCCAGAGATGGACCCTTCGCCCAGTTCCTGAAGAATTATCTCTTGGATGAGGATGATGTAGATGATCCTGAAAGTAAGTTATTTTGTATTTTTTTTAAAGCCCATTCTGTCACAGTTACTGCTTTAACTCAATTTTGCCTGATTGTGTTATTATAGTAGCTCTTTCTGACCACAAAAAGGTTTAACTAATTAAATAAAAACTTCTTATAATAAAAATTGTTTTTTTTTTAAATAAAAAAGGGAAGTGGTGTTGTGATAATGAACAAATCAGACGACCAAGCCAAGATGGATGATTTTTTAATGGATCAGTGCAAAATTCCAATTAGAGACAACAAGGAACAAATCTAGAGACTTGGAAACAAGTAAAGAAAGAAATTCAGTCACTCCTGAATCATAAACTTGTCAGTGAAGCAACATTTGATTGATTGATGTTCAGCCTGACCAGGACAACACTGAGTGACAAACACCTGATGACACAAAGTGCCACCATTTGTATGAGGATCACTCAGGGACAGGTCCCAGAGGTTCATTACGTAGAGGTTATATTAGAGTGAAACATTTCGGCCAAGTCTTTATCAATGAGCACCAAAACAAAATGAAGTATTCTAGACACCAATGAGCAGGCAGAGTCTTTCAGCCTGAGGATTTAGGGCAGCTTGGCTAGTGCTGTCGGTGCAAACTATGCAGGTTAGGGTTCAAACATTTACTATGATTATAACATTGTTTTTCTGATTTATGCTGATGCTTGTCGACATTACTATTCATGAATAATTTTATATTGATGGGCAGTCAACTTCATCAGATCCGAGATGTGGAAGAAAGTGGACAGTGTCACATCAGACGGCCTCACATCAGCTGACGAAGATGACAGGCCAAGGAGGAGAAGGCTTCGAAGGTTGGTAAAATATATCCCCGTGTGGGTTTAAAGGTCCCATTTGAGGGAGGGGGAGGAAAATAGAGTTACTGCACCTTAACAAGCCTATTGTAAAAAAGTGAGTAATTAAGGCTTTGCTGAAATCAATATGTTGATGGAAATGTGGTTTGCAGCCGGGCTATGATATCTGCGAACCACCTTTTTCAGGGGGAATGCAGAAAAGGCTTTTTTTTTTTAAAGCTCGGTACACCTCAAATTGTGTGTGTGTGGCTATTTTAGAAATGGATAATTATGCCTATTAGTTATGCTTAGTTATTCATTATTGCATAGATTATTTTTTTAGGAGTATAGATTGTCAAGTTCAATATATTTTAAGTGTGCTTTCAAACAGTTATAGTAGTTACATTGTGTAGCCTATCTTTGGTAATATTTGAAATGATCTAAGAATGTCATTATTCTATCTCATTTATTATATAATTATGAACATTATAACCTTTGTTTTCACTCTATAAATGTGATATTAACTTTAAAAAAACAAATCTGGAGCCTGAACTATATACTCAGTACATCTTAAAGCATGAACTAGAGCCCTTTATCTTTCTCACTTTTGTGGAAAACTAATCAGTTAACTTGCTACTGAATCGTTTGTGTAAAGCACATGAGCAATTAAAAATTGAAATTGAATTAAAAAGTGAACAATTATTTGAAAACGACAGAGGTGTAGTTTTATAGACAAATTGTGAGACCACTTTAAACAGATTTAAAATTTTAAAAAAAGAGCAGTAAAGATTCAAAAAGAAAACTCATTGCTCACATCAGAAGGAAATCTATATTCTTTGGTCATAAGAAAACTGGAGTACATCAAGATAGTTGAAAATTTGATGGGGAAAAGAGACAGAGGAAGACCAAGAGAGAATTTGCTTGTCAGTTTGATGTAGTGGCATGGAAGATCTTTTGTTTCAGAGTTGATTGAAAGTACACAAGAAAGAAGGTTGTGGATAAAAACACAAATAACCAGTGCTACAGGGCATGGACTATAAGATGATAGCAAAGGATTGAACTGATACACTGAATACCATCAGAGAGATAGAACAACTGAAAGAAGAAAGTGATAATTGGGAAATATCAACTTGTTTTGACAGCACAAATGGCAGATTAAAAGAGGTGAGGCTAGACAAGAGCACCACTATGCAGAGGTTTGAAGAAGAGAAGTAAACTAACACACGACTGATGCCATAACTCACTTAGTACCAATCAACCTGTCATGTGTTTGTTGAGTTTTACTTATATTAAACATTCCTCTCAACTCTCCAAACTGCGCCCAGCTATTATACTCACCTACACTGCTCCAAGTGTTATTTAACTCTTATCTCTCAAAGTGTAATTTTGTCAAATTCATTCTGACCCTAACATTTATTTTTCTTCTTATAGTCCATACCATGTGGTGCTGCTAGTCATGTCTGTTGACTTTCTGTGTTATTTTACTTTCATTAAATTTTGACACAAATGGTCTTCCATGCCATGATGTCAGACTGTCAAGCATCTTCTCTCTCGTTGTCCCTCTGCCTCACTTCCCCTCTAACTTTCCCACCGTCTCAATGTTCACCTGTTTTCTCATTCTTATGACATGACCAAAGAATTCATTTTTTATTTAAAATAAAAACTTTTGAGTAGATTATGAGTTAAATAATGTCTACCCAGTACAGAAAGAGTTAAGTTACCAAACACGGCAGGATATAAAGAGGAGGGAATCCAACCACTTAAGGACTGAGGGGTTTCAGGTGCAGTGAGGATAACCTGTCAACAAATCAGTTATGTTTATGTTTATTCAACGGATCAACATCGCAGCCCACGGGTGTAACCCATAAGTGCTCTGTTCTTCTAACTCAAGCCTGAGTCTGAAGAATCTCAGTGCAGTGCACGAACTCTGTTGCACTGGCGAGGCTCCTGAAATACTTTGGGTAGATTTGTAACTCTAAATTTTGCCTAGGCAGTGCTGTTAGGTTATTCTTTTCGATTTCCAACTGCCAAGGGATTTTTTACATGTACAACAATACACACGAGTGTCCGGTCTTACTACCCAGAGACCAGAGGAAATTATTAAAGTCCACGTTAAAAAAAATCCCAGTCCTCAACTGGGTTAGAACCGGGACCTCTAGCACTCGAGGCAGACACCATGCCTTAAAACCACACAGCTCCCTAACAACAAATCAGTTAACTGTTACTTGCACGTACTTACAGACGCAGCCGATTAGATTCTTTGATTGACTCCTCAAGGCGGTCTGACGGCTACATCAGTGATGTTAGCATACCAAGAGCAGGCTACAAACTCATTGAAGAGGAGAAGTCAGCCAGGGGCAAGGTTGGTCTCAGTAACTTTCACTGCCTCATCATCATCTTCATCATCATCATCATCATCATCATGTGCCATACTGACAAGCATAGGCCAGGGCAATTCAGCTAAATTCACTCAGGGGCCAAAATATAGAAATGGAGATCATCATGGTCCAAGTGTCCAAGCTTGCTAGGCCTCTACAGGCAAGATGTAGCCTGTAGACTGCCAGTTGAATAGCCCTGGCATAAGCAGTTATGTGTCGCCATCTCACACAAGCACACATCACTTTTTTTTTTCACCTTGGGCATGCTAACACCTACAGGACTGAACTGCCAACACAGTTTCATCTAAAATCCTAGAGGATTGAACTGCTCACACAGTTTTATCTAAAACGCTCCAGTTACGGTGCCTGGAATTCCTGGGAGTATTTATTCTCCTGTCCCACGTGTCTCGTCAGTCTACTGACAAGACATTGTCCTGGCTGCTTCGAGAAACTAAGTTAAGTGATTTTATGTATTTTTGTGGTATTGTTTTATTTATGTGTGTGCTGATGAAGGCTCCATAGCCGCAACGTTAACTTTTTGTTTGTGTTCGTTATATTGTAAAGCTTGCTGAAATTCTTTTCATTTGGTTTTATTTATATCTTTTCTTCACATAATCACCAGAATCATTGATCAGGTGTTCCTGTATTGTCCCCACCCATACAGCATAACTATCCTTTTACAATGGTACCTCAACTTATGAACAGCTCTACATGTGCACATTTCCAGATATTATATTTTTTCATATACGATTTTGACCCCTACATACATGCCTAGATATAAGATACGAACCGTGATGCACTGCGCACTGATATTGTTACTACATTCACATTTATCTGGAATAAGATGCAATGAGTGGTGTCTGTGACGATTGCTGCACATTCATTTTCTGCTTTTGTATGAATCTATTTTGATATCTGTGTATTCAGACAACACAATTAGTTTATATACTTGCAGGAGGCATTACAGACAAACAGTTTCAATTTATTATTTACATATCGCGTATTATTTCCAACATGCGATCAAAGAAAGCTGAGACGGAAGAGAAGAAGAAAATCACTATACAAAATTAAGAAACAGACTGTGGAAAAATGTGAAAAAGGAATCAGCCAAACTGGTATATGCAAGTAGTTATTATATATCGTACATTTGGTGAGTGCATGCTAAAGAAATCTGGTTAATTTGCCAACATACAACACAGTAAATGTTGTCTCTTTGAAAATAATACACTCATGTTCTTCTTCTTCTTCTTCGCGTTCACCAGCTGTACACTCTGGCGGAAAGTTCTGGTTGCTCGTCCACTACTGAACTGCAGTCCTGCTCCAGAACCTAAGTGTTGCGTGTGCATCAGTTTTACAGATCTCATTCTCTTGAATACAGACTGTTGGTTCATTGCCTCTCCGGCAGATGCACTCCGACTTCAAAGGAAGCTCCCCAATTAGTCGACTCTTACGACATGCTTTTGGGGAGGCAGTGGGTCTATTCTTGTTTTCCCCACTATGGGGCCCCGGAACCCACACGGGGGACTCATGTTCTGTTTGTTGCTTCTACTATCTCCTTAAATATTAAAACAAAATCTTCTGGTACTGAAAGAGTTAAAAGCTAAAGCTATTTACAAAAGTCTGTCACAGAACATACCATCCACTACCAGTAACAAAGACATCAGTGAAGAGTTTAGAGATAGTAAAGGTTAAAGTTAGTTGCGTATCCTTTACAGGACATTGCAGAACCAACCCCAGCATTTTTTGGCTGTTGAGGTTTTCCTAGGCAAGTTTACGTCCAATAGTTTGCCTATGCTTTCAGGACGGTCGGCTTCTCGATACCACTGTCAAAACCAACGCAAGGCGCAAAGCTGGGATTGAACCCAGCACCCCAGCATTACAAAGCGCATTCGTAACGCCTAAGCCACAGATGCCGAGGAGGGTTTGAGAAATTCAAGAATAGAACTGGTATCCAGAGTATTGTAAGACATGGAGAAGGTGCTAGTACTGAAGAAAAACAGCCACTGAAATGATCATAAAGGAATTTCAGACCAGAACAGGTTTTCAACCTCAGTGAAACTGGGCTTTCCTGGAAGAAAATGTCTAAAAGAACATTTGTCAATAAGGAGTAAATGGCATTGCCATGATACAAGCCGATGAAAGACAGGTTAACTTTGTATGTTTGTGCCAATGCCGGTCGTGGTCTAAAGATAACACTTCTGGTTTATCAAGGAAAATCTTAGATACTGTAAACAACAGAAAGAGTTAACAGACACAAACTCAGCTGTGGAAAAGTAACAGCAGAGAACCAGGCAGTTCTTCTGTGAATGGATAACAGAAGTCATTGCTCTCACAGTAAAATGGTATCTAAAAGAAAAGGGCCTGCCTGAAATGTTTTTCTTACAGTGGATAATTTGCCAATGGACAAATTATTTTTCATAAATCCGAGATTGGATTAATTGATTTCTTATAAGATGTAATAGGTAATTGGGTTTTGAGATACAAACTTTTCTAGATACGAACCACAGACAGGAAAAAATTAAGTTTGCATATCAAGGTAACACTGTATTTATCTCTTTGCATTCTCCTTTCCGGTTTGTGTCAAGATGGCGGGACGTGTTTCTCTCTAGCTCGGCGCATATCGGTTGATCGACGGTCCGACAAGCTGTCATCGCAAAACCACCAATTGTTATAGAATCAGATTTCTGACTCTAACTGAATAAGGCAAGAATCCAGGCAAGAGTATGTGTCTAATTTTATACGAAAACGCCACTGTAACTATGTCGGCCACTCCCTTAGAATGGATAAATCAAGACTTCCTTACCAAGCCCTCATTTGGACACCACAGGGGAAAAGATCTCGTGGAAGACCAAGGGAAACCCTACGTAGAACTATCATCAGGGAAGGCTCGCTCATGGGCCACTCAAACATCCAAGACCTACAACGGATTGCAACGGACCGCCGTGCATGGAGAGTCACGACCTCTGCCCTATGTGCCGCACTCGACACAAGAGGAAAGACTAATTCTCCTTTCTCTTTTTTAATAAATCTTGCCAGCTATCACCAAGTTCTTCATGTCGATTCTTTCTCATAACCTCGGAAAGTCCCTCACTGTCTATGACTATATCTAATTTCTTGAATCAGTTTCAAGTTTTCATCCGTCTTAAAAAAGACCGTTTTGTTTGTTTTTCTATAATTTGGTATTCTTCATACTCTTAAAAACCACATCCCCACTGCGTGTAAATATTTGTCAGCTTGTCTGGCAATGTAATCAAATATCACAAGTCCTGCAAGAATGTCTCTTGTACAGCCTATTGAAAAAGGAAAACTGGCCCACTGAGACAGATTATACACACATTTGTATGGAACTAAAATTGAAGCTCCTAAAAACAGTCAGTTTTATCAAAAGAACACGTCTGTCTGTGAAAATCAGAAAGTGATCACAAGAAGAAGATATTCTCATCCTTAATGTTTTTGTTGTTGCTTATTTGTATGTTTGCACATATTTCTACTGTTGTTCAGGTGAAAGGTTCAGTTGTGTGGGATTTCCTGCGGGCTTTCGGTATCTGCTTTGCAATTTCTCTGGTTGCGTTGCTGATACTCTACCAGGGCGTGGGTGTGGGTGCAAGCATCTGGCTGTCTCGCTGGACCGATGACCCCTACCTGCAGAACCACAGTCTGGTTGAGACAGAACTCTTCCTTACAAAGACATATACATATTTGGCAGTGTACAGTGCACTGGGCTTTGTACAAGGTGAGTTTGTTCATACACCTACTGTTTCTGGGTTCCTGAAAGCATTTTATTGGTTGGTGTGTTAGCTGGCTGGCTCATTGATTGGTTAGTGGGGTGGGTGGGTGGATGGTTGGTTAGTTGATTGGCTGTCTAGCTCACTTGTATGTTGATTGGTTGGTTGTATGGCTGGCTGATTCCTTAGTTTGTTTATTAGCTGACTGGCTGGCTTGTTGGTTGACTGGCTGACTGGTTCATTGGTTGTTGGGTTGGTTGGCTAGTTAATTGTCTTTTAGTTTATTTACTGATTGGTTGGCTGGCTCGCTGGTTGGTTTGTTAATTATTTTATTGGTTTGTTGTTTGATTGTTTGCTTTATTTATTTGCTTGGCTGGTTGGCTGACTGGCTCATTGATTGGTTGCTTAGCTGGTTAATTGTTGGTTGGCTGGTTGATTGGTTGACTAAAGATGCTGCAAAAGACTGTAACCCTGAATTCAACTGTATTTACATTACAGTTGAATGAGTTCCGTAAATGGCATGTGTCTGTCACAGTGAGATTGGTGTATAGGCTGTCCCTCTGACCTGGTACTGTAGAACCATCCCCACAGGAACTGCATGAAAGAGCTCTCCTTCCCTTCTCCAACCTCAAAAAGGAGTTGGGTGAAAACCAGTAGTATCCCTGTGTGTGTTCCAGGGCCCCATTGTGGGGAAAACAAGAATAGACCCCCAGCCTCCCCAACAAGCCTGTCGTCGAAGGAGGTGACTAACTGGCGACTTCCTTCAAGGTTTGGAGTCCATCTGCCTGAGAGGCAAGGAACCAGCAGTCTGCATAAAAAAGCAAGTTCTGTAAAACAGATGCGCATGCACATTTCAAGTCCTGGAACAAAGCCGAAGTTCAGAAATAGACGAACAACCATGTCTTTCAGCTGGGGTTTACAGCTTGTGAATCCACAACAACAACAACAACAACAACAACAAAATTAGTAGTGGAACTCCTTATCCTCATGGTAATCTTTGAAATATTATCTCCCCTATGTGAGTTTTGCAACCGATTTTGGTAAAAGAATATACCCACAGCTCCCAAACACACACACATACACACAGAAGAAGAAGAAGAAGAAGAAGAAGAAGAAGAAGAAGAAGAAGAAGAAGAAGAAGAAGGAAGAAGAGGAAGGAAGAAGAGGAAGAAGAATTAATATAATAACACCAAATTGTAAAGCTTAAATTATTTGATACGACTGACTGACTGACTGACTTTCTACCCCACTAGGACATCACACAAGCGATAAACACCCGATGACACAAAGTGCCACCATGCGGATGAGGATCACTGTGGAGAGGTCTCAGAAACCGCGTTCAGACAAATGGCCATATTGATGGCCTGCCTATATTGCGGCCCCTGGCAAAAGGCAGAGTAGGGCTTCAAATAAGAAAAAAATTACGTCCTGAAAAGGACGTAAGTATGTTTCCTAGACACACATTATTTGATACTAGAATAGTGGAGATAACTTTAGGTATTCCCCAGACAGATTATACAGCATGATTTTCACATATATTTTAAAAATATACTTAAAATATATTAAACTCAACAATCTATACCACTACAGTCTCTGACAATAAAATATAATCGGTGCAAGATTAAATAACCAAAAGTATTTGACAAACATAACTATCCAGTATTCAAGTAGAAACAAACTCTATACATCCATTTATAACCAATGGATTGAACAGGGTACAGTTTCAATTACAACTACTGCTACTAGTAGTAGTTGAGCTACAAGTATTTTACATCATTGTAAAGCCTTTTGTTTTATAAAGTATTCCAGGACAGTCTATTTTATTATCACACCACTGAATATCTCTAAAATCCACAGCTGTCTGTGCTCTAGCATTTGTGGGCAACATATCCCTACGCATGGTAGTGGCCTCCAAGCGACTACACGATGCCCTGCTAGAAAACATTCTTCGCCAGCCAATGAAATTTTTCGACACAACGCCACTTGGGCGGGTCATCAACCGGTTCTCCAGAGATGTTGACATGATTGACAGCTCTATGGCTAAACTTGTGCGCATGTTCTGCCAGCAGTTGTTCACAGTTTTAAGTGTCATTGTTGTGATGACCTACACGACCCCGGTGTTCCTTGCCGCTGCCATTCCTATTTTGTTTATATACTACTTGGTGCAAGTGAGTATTTATTTAACTACCTTTAACTTTTTTTGTTTGTTTTTGACAAGACAGTTTTGTTAGGTTAATTTATTATATAATGTTCTTTTTCTTAGCATTCATTGTAAACTCCTACTGAAAGTTTTGGTTGTTCGTCCACTTGTGAACTTTTAGTGTTGTTTCATAACCTGAGTTTTGCATGTGCATCCATTATATTAGCTATTCATTACCAAGCAATCGTTGACTACCCTTTACCACGGATGCATTACATCAGCTCCATAATACCTATAAATGAAAAGGTTGACAGTTTGGCAAGGGAGGTGGAAGACTACCACCATTGGATCTAGAGACTATGATAAGACCAAGAGGTTTATGAGTAAGTAAAGTAACGATCCCTTTTCACGCCTTTCGGCGCATCGGGCATATGGGCAGAGCGTCCCATATTTTTACAGACCATCAGCACTCTGTGGGTAATGTGGTCAGCATTACGCCGGCTGTCTTTACTTTCCCAGGACAGCCCATCCTGGTACCCATTTTAGGCTGGGTCGACCTGCGATGTCCCATACCACGACAAAAATCCACACAGCCTGCAGTGGGTTTCGATAGTACTTGTAAAACTAACTACTGGCAATCAGTGCAACCTGGCCATCTGAAAAGTGATATATTTGACCTATTTCTCTTAAAGTAAGAGGCACCAATCTTCAGAATCCACACAGGAATATCAGGCTGAAGAACTGATTGTTTAACTAAATTAACGATATGCCATAATGATAAATATAACTGTAGAACTGGTAAAATGACAGCTAAACATTTGTTGCTTGAATGTCCAACATAGGCAGAATAGAGAAAAGCTCATGGAGCTGTGTGGTCTTGAAGCATGGTATCCCCCTCGAGTACTAGAGGTTTTGGGTTCAATCCTAGGTAAAGGCTGGGATTTTGTTAATGTGATTGGACTTCTAGAAATTCCTCCGATCTCCGGGTAGTGAGATTGGACGCCCGTGTGCATTGTTGCGCACGTAAAAAAATCCCTTGGCAGTTGGAAATTGAAAAGAGTAGCCTAACAGTGCTGCCCGGGCAAAATTTGGAGTTAAAAATCTACCCAAAGTATTACAGGATCCTCACTGGTGCTTCAGAGCCTGTGCACTCTGCTGAGCTTCTTCAGACTCAGACTTGAGTTAGAAGTAGAACGGAGCACTTATGGTTTACTACCCATGTGCCATGATGTTGATCCGTTGTTCAAACTTCAAACCTCAGACTAGAAAAAACTATTCTGGCTGAAACCAGAACCTTGCAAGAAAAACTCTAGAGATGTCAACAGGCTCAAGTTGACTGCTGCTTTTTACAAACATATCCAGATTGACATCAGAAAGTGTGCAAATAAAGACGAAGAAAATTGTATCTTGTTGTTAAAAAACACATTTAAATTATGAATAATTAGTTGATAATTACATGGTAAAGACAAATAATCTATTTCACAATTTTTTGCCTGGCACATTTTGTTGTATCTCATTAGTTGCAGACTATAGAATTTACAAATAATAGCACATGAAAATTAATATTTTTTTTCACCTAGAATAAATAAACAAAGCACACAAAGGTCAGTGTTATCCGGTGAATCTCACCATATAAGTCTTTGATTACTCTGTGTGTTTTACATTAATAATTTTATGTTCTGATTTTTCACAGAAATTTTATGTGCCTTGTTCAAGGCAGCTGAGACGAAATGAGTCTACAACTCGCTCTCCCATCTACTCTCACTTCACGGAGACCATCAGTGGTGCTACATCTATTCGAGCCTATGATGTTGTGGAGCGGTTCGCTTTAGAGTCGCAGAAGAGAGTTGATATCAACAATGCCTTCTTCTATGCCTTCACGTCTGCTTCAAGGTGATGTAAAACTGCCATGAAATGTTTAGTTGAAAATTGTACTATTATGTTGATAAAGATGTTTGTTGTATCTCTGTGCACAACTCCCACTCCTGCCTTCTCCATTAGGCTTCCTGTTCATTTCTTGTGTTTAGTGCAGTCTCTCTCTCTCTCTCTCTCTCTCTCTCTCTCTCTCTCTCTCTCTCTCTCTCTCTCTCTCTCTCTCTCTCTCTCTCTCTCTCTCTTCTCTCTCTCTCTCTCTCCCTCCCTCCCTCCCTCCTCCCCTCTCTCTCCTCTCTCTCTCTCTCTCTCTCTCTCTCTCTCTCTCTCTCTCTCTCTCTCTCTCTCTCTCTCTCTCTGACCTTTTCCCACACATATTCAGCATATAGGGCTTGACCTACATTTTATAGACCAATCGGCACTTGGTGTGTAATGTGGTCAACATCACGCCGGCTGCCTTTACTTTCCAGGACTGCACCTGGTTTGCACTCAAGACTGGGTCACCCTGGGAGCCAAGGTCATTTTTTAAGAAAGCCCGGTTTTTGCCAGAACCCAAACCCATAACCTTCCGACCCACAGGCGAGTGTCTAGCCGACTACCCATTTAGTGAACCATTTCTTATCAAATATTCAACCTGTCAGTAGTGGCCAGACGTTCGCCTGTCTAAAAGTCTTGGCTTTCAGTTCATATTGATTCAGATGTTTTTCAAAAGTGACAATGGCTCCTAGGTCGACCCAGTGTAAAATCACTACCAGGTAATATTATGAAATGTGAAGGCAATCTGCCTGAAGTTGATCACATCACCCGCAGAGTTTTAATAGGTCTAGAAAAAAGTATGACTTTTTTCATCATATGTCCAAACACCCCTGGTGTAAAAAGGGTCTTTTTTTTCCCTTTTTTTTTTTGCCATACTGTCAGTTTTCTGTTCAGTTTTTTTTTTTAGGGGAGGGGGGGTTTTAAGGGTGGGGGTGGGGTCTCCTCATCTAGAAACTTTTCATAAAAATAAACATTATTCACCCACTGTGTTCCATGACCACTTTTTAGAGGAAACAGAATAGAGTGACTGCCCTTACTTGTTTCTGAAATTGAAGGTGTTGGGCTGAATAGTACACATCTCGCAGCCTTGCTGTAAACCACAACATAATGTTTGAACATCCCATTTAGGGGCAAACACACAATAAGATGCATGCTTTAATGAGTTGTTTAAAAAAAAACTTATTTGTATCAACAGATGGATCAGGATAAGACTGGAGCTGCTGGGAAACTTGATAGTTCTATTTGCTGCACTATTTGCTGTGGTTTCTGATAAGTTGACTGGCAGTTTAGTTGGACTGTCTGTTTCATATGCTTTACAAGTGAGTATTATTGTATTGTGCAATTTACTTCTTTCTCATGGCTCAGTAACACTGTGGAGGGCTGGTACTGTGGTTGTCTCAGTAAACGGCAACAGTGACAAACTCAACTCTTTGAGTCCCAGGTGGTTTAGCATCACAAGCCCAGGGGGTAGTCAAGAGAGACATAAAATTGGCGCATCATGCATTCATTGGGCTTCTTGATAGGAACCTATGAACGTATGTTGTGTTCCTTGGGACTCAAAAAGTTAAATGTAGAAGTCAGTGGTAGACTAGCTTGAACATGATGCTGGACATAACAGTGACTTACTTACTTCTCTTCTGAGCTGGGCTAGAAAAGACAAGCCAGGAAAGACACTGAAGTAAATCACCAGAAGGATGCGGCTTCAGTTGCATGTCCACGCTGCTTTCAGTGCTAGAATTGGCCTCGTCAACCATCTGCTCACTCACAAAACCTAATCCAGTCACCAATGGATGAAAGGACTGGTCATCATAACCTGTGATGAATAAACAGCAACATTTTCTGAGCCCATCCGCACCTGGAGAGAATAATACAGCTGGGAATGTCTGTGGATACCACTCCGGACTCAGAGGAAAGGGCAGGATGAGTCGTTAACAGTTGACAACGGGCATCTTCGGTAATGAGACTTTTCGATGTCTGTTGAGGAAGGAGATGGAGCAAATATGGGCTCATCCTCAATGGTGCGATGTCAAATCTTTACCCAGATGAACCCAGATGCTCCAAGCTGCAGAGTCAGGTCTTCTATCACTGATCAGTCTTCTAGAGTTGAGCCTGGTAAGCATCAAGCCAAGCATATCACACCAAGGTCTCCTCGAGGAAGCTCATTCTGCTTGCATTCAAACATTTGTAAACAATCACTTGGCAGCTCAGTTTTATAAAGACATCTCCGACAAACAGCCAGCAGTCATTTTTTTTTCAGCTATCAATGGTGATTTAAACAGATTATAAATTTCGTTGTTGCTTCTCATTCTCCATTCCCCGCTGTTTGCATCTTTGATGGGTGATTATTACAAATTGTTTAACTAATTTATGTCAGTGCACTATACATACTACACCAAGCCTATAGCCTTGGTTGCCAACTGTATCGAATGTTGAATGTTGAATTAAGAATCAACATCATAGCACTTGGGACACTTCCATAAGCACTCCCTTCCCATATTCAGCAGCTGGCAAAGAGTTCCAATTCAGATGGTACCAATAAATGTCTTATTGTACATCCATCTCGCCTCATCCTTGAGTGTTGAGTGTTAGCCACATCCCCTGGTAACTTCCCACACCGCCATTCTCTCCAGACCAAAATGGTGTGTTTGTGCCTCCGCAATGTTTACTCCTTGCCTCGCAGACTGATGTGGGCGATGATATCTCTGCACAGCTTGAGAATCTTTTCACATTGTCTTAGGTGATATGTAACTGTGAATATACTTTCAAACCAGACGTTGTCAAATGTTTACTACTTGTGTCCCAAACAGTACATTATGTGTGATTGGGTATTATCCCTGTGTACTAATCAAAACATTAGATATGTTTTATATCTCATGTTTAGTCAAGTAAAGTGAAGGACCCTTTCCACACCTTCGGGTGTATTGGGCATATAGGGCTAGACCTATATTTTATTGACCAATCGGCACCTGGTGGGTGATGTGGTCAACATCATGCTGGCCACCTTTACTTCCCAGGATTTTATCTGGTAACCACTCAAGGTTGGGTCGACCTAGCAGCTGAGAAAATTTTTTTTAAAGTCCTTTCTCCACGAGGACCTGAATCGTCCGATTTACGGGTGAGCATCTAGTCGCAACACCATGACGGCTCTGTTTAGTCGAGAAGTCTTTAAAATACCCAATCAACATATGTCTCCTACAAGTATTGTGCATTTGGCCCCTGTGGAAGTAGTATACCCATGAGTTCAGTGATGTCATTATTGCCTCTCTCAGACATTAGCTGGGGCCAACTGGAACCGTGAGAGTTAAGCCACAGCCGCTGATTCTACTGTCTTTATCTTTGTTGTCTCTACTTGTGATATCAGGTGACAAGTACGCTGAATGAGCTGGTTCAAAACTCCACTCAACTGGAGAGCAATGTGGTGTCAGTGGAGCGAATTGTGGAGTATTCCAGGCTGCCTCAGGAGGTAAGTTTTCTCTGTAGCCACCAAAGTCTTGAATACTTTTTTTTTTCATGCTTGGGTTTTTTCCTGTGTTGGTGCCAGGACCCTATAGAAGAAGAGGAGGAGAAAGAAAGAGGGAGGGGAAAGAAAGGGGGGGGGGAAAGAAAGGACCAACTGCCGATCTAATAAGCAAATCATAAAAACTGACTTTATGAGATTGCTGAAACTGGATGTGTTCAGCAAAAAGGTACAGATACTGTGGCTTAGCTGTAAACCACAACACAATCAATCACCCCCCCCCCCCCCCCCCAAATATCTGACTGGAAATGGCTAATGTAATTAGAAAACTATATACGGCTATAAGAAAGAGGCAATCAATGTTGTTTGGTCATGTGAAGAGAAAAGAGGCACTTGAGAATATTGTGATGACCAGAAAGTAAATTGTAGAAGAGGCAGACTGAGAGAGAGACGATGTTTGATGACCAGAAGTTATGGCATGGTGGAATGTCATCAGTGGAATTGACTAGAAAAAACACAGTTGTGAGATCTGAATGTTGAATTAAATATTAATAACATCACAGCACTCGGGACACTCAGATAAGCACTCTATCCCGATCTTCAACAGAATGTGAACAGTTCCAAATCCGCTGGCACCAGAAACTGTCTGATTGTACATCCGTCTCACCTTTCCTTCGAGTGTTGAGCATCGGCCTGATCCCCTGGTAACTCCTCGCAGCTTTCTTCTCCTCAGACCTTAATGGTCTGTTTGTGCCTCTGCACTGTTCACAGGCCCTCACAACATCAAGCTTGTCTTACATCAGTTCATCACCAAGTGGTAGAGAACTGGCCAGCCTATCTGCCTGCTCATTTCCCAACACACCTGCATTCATCATCATCATGTAGCAGGTCCTTTGCAGAACGTCACTCTCATCACAGTCTGCCTGAAAGAAACTCAGTCTCATACCAGTTCTCCTGCCTCATGTACTTTCATACTCAAGGAGTCACTTATATCCTGTGCCCATCTTCGTGTCGGTCGGCCCCTGCCCCTCCTTCCTGGCACCATGCCTTCTGCTATAGTTTTTCCCAATCCGTTGTGGTGCTTGATATGACCAAAATATTTCAGCTTCTGAGAAAGGATGCTGTTTATTAGCCAATCTTCCTTGATGTTCAGATCTTTTAAGATGTCAATATTTCTCCTCTTCTTTGTCCAAGATATTCTGAGAATCTTTCTATAGCATTTCAGCTCAAAAGCCCCTATTCTCTTTCTTAAGGACTGAGAGATAGTCCACGACTCACATCCGTATGTAGCCACAGGGAAGATGCATGCTCTCAAAATTCTAATTTTTATCTCCTTGCTGGTGCTTAACCATAGACTTTTAAGGCTGTTCAATCTTTGCATTGCCAAGGCCATCCTCCTTTTAATTTCTGTTGAACAGTCTCCATTGCTGTTTATTATAGAGCCTTGATATTCAAAGTTTGTGACATTTTCAATTTCTTCATTATTTATTTTTTATTTTTGGGTGACAGCCAGTTTCATTTTTGGCTTCCATGATGAGTTTCTTGGGATAGTAATGTGGTAGTTTCCCGTTGCTTTCCACACCTGCATTACCTGGAGAAAATATCCAAAGTCACTAACTACCCAGGACCTCTGAAGTGATGCTTCCCAGTCTGCAAGATCTGTGGAGAGACATGAGCGCCTACACTGCTGAGCAGAGCACATGATGATGTTAATTATCATCCAATGCCTGATGTGCCAATGATGTTAACAATAGTACTTTACTTTTTAACTTACCAACCCAACACACCCTGGTCAAACTGTAAAACTTCCTGCCTTACTTGTAGACACATGATAACTAAGCTGACTGGCTACTGTAGCTGCTTGCAGACAGTGGTATGAGAGTCATACTGTGGAAGAGATTTTGGGCCTCACCACTTAATATTCCCATAGCTAGCGTGAATGCATTGCATCCAACCTATATTGTGAAGGCGGCACAATTTTTTATTGTCATTTCTAGAGTCGTCTTGCCAGTTTGGTGCAACTACTAAAATGATTATTATATATGCAACTTTTATGTTATCAACAGTACGTACCAAGCGCCAATGTTTTAGCATGAGCAATCACAAGTCATCTAATTGATTCAGTTATTTTTGTTATCACTCTCTAACAGCCTGCTTGGGAAGTGCCATCAAAAGAAATAGACGATGACTGGCCGAGACGTGGAGATATTGTTTTTCACACATACAGTACTCGCTACCGACCTGATCTTGACTTAGTTCTCAAGAATGTATCCTGTCATATCACAGATGGAGAGAAGGTGTATAAACTTTATTTAAAAATGTTTTTTAATACCATGAAATAGCTGTATGTGTTATAGCAGTTGTTTTTCCAGTTTAGTATTACAATTCAAGTGTGGGAGGTTACGAACAGGCTGATAGATTAGCTTCTGCCACTTTCTTGAAGGTGGTGAAGGCTGTATGGGATCAAATAGACGGTACAAAAGAAGGGGCTGAGTGGTCTCGAGGTATGGCATTCACCTCAAGTGCTATAGCCTTGGGTTCAAACCACGGTGAAGGCTTTGATTTTTCTACATGGACTTCTTGGGGGATAGAAAGGCAGAAGACATGGACTTCTAGTAGTTTCCCCTTGGTCTCTAGGTAGTAAGATCAGATGCCCGTGTGTATTGTTGCGCATGAAAAAATCCCTTGGCGATTGGAAATCAAGAAAGAGTAGCCTAACGGCGCTACCCCGGCAATATTTGGAGTTAAAAATCTACCCAAAGTATTTCAGGATCCTCGCTGATGCTACGGAGTTCATGCACTGTGCTGAGATTCTTCAAAATCAGGCTTGAGTTAGAAGTAGAACAGAGCACTTATGGGTTACACCAGTGTGCTATGATGTTGATCCGTTGAATAAACAAACAATAAACATAGTGCAAAAGAACAGATAGGTAAACCATACACTGATAAACTAATTCAACAGGGGTGTGTGTACAGTTTACGGAAGTTATTCAACATGGAAGGGGAAAACAGAGGCAGACTTTTAATGTTTGCAATTGGTACTATTAACTTGTCAGCTCTTCGTTGGTTACTGAAGAAGGGGACGGGGCACATGTGGGAATGTCTCAAATGCAGCGATTTCAGTTCATTCATTCATCCATTCATTCATATAACAATTGGTAAAACATTTATGGTTATCATTATTATGTTTAGCATTAGTATTATGCTTATTTATTATTTAGTAATTTTTGTATTTTTAATGTTATTATTGTTGTTCATGTATTTTTATTGTTACATTTTCTTCTGTTTTGGTTTTGTGTATTATAATGCTGCAATAAAATTATGTGCAGCTCTGTAGCTTATCGATTAGTGAATGTGTTTAACAATATCATGATACCCAAGTACAACAAGGCTAAATTCCCAAGGTAGATGGTAATTCAGAATAAATCTTTCTTGTTATTTTTTTTTTTAACAGTAGAATGAGAGTCGCACCATAGAAGAGATTGGGGCCTCATAGTGTCATGTTCCAAAGGACAGCAGTGGTGCATTGTAACCAACCTTCAATGTTAGGACAGCACAGATGTTTAACAAAAATCAAATTGTGTGTTGAAACAGATCTCAATTAGCCAACATTTGTTGCTACATCCAAATGATGTATTACAGTGGCTTACACTTGTTAATTATTTTCTATTATTCATTAAATTATGTGTACCAGATCTAAGTTTAGATGTAACTTAAAGTAGTTGCTAGTGTTTTAATAGTAGTTGCCACTATTTCATTTGTAGTTGCCTTTTTCAACTAAAACTGCCATTATTTCAGCTGTAACTGCTACTGTTTCATCTAAAATTGCTGTTTTTTCAACTGGTTGCTACAATTTAAGCAGTAATTGCTGTTATTTTAGCAGTAATTGTTATTATTTCAGCTAAAATTGCATTTATTTCAATCCATTTAATGTATTTAATAAGCATGTTACATTTGTATTTGTTTCAGATTGGCATAGTTGGTCGCACGGGTGCTGGGAAATCATCCATGTCCATGGCACTTTTCCGCATGATTGAATCAGCAGGAGGCAGCATCATTATTGATGGGGTCAACATTGCTGACATAGGTCTCCATGATTTGAGGTCAAGGCTGACAATCATTCCACAGGTTTGCTTGACTGAATTTTTATATTAATTTCTGTTTAAAATAAATGTTTATAATTTTTCTGTCTTTATCCAACTTAACATGCAATGTTATCATGTAGCAGGTCTTTTGAAGAACGTTGCTTTCATCATGGCCTGCCTGAAAGAAACTCAGTCTCTCACCAACTCTTCTGCCTCGTGTACTTTCATATTCAAGGAGTCACTTATATCTGGTGCCCATCTTAACATGCAATGTTAAATAGTTTAATAAGGGAGATTATTCTTGTCAAACATGAGAGATAAGTAAAAAGTAAACGTTATCAAAGTAAGACGATAGAGATGGCTTGGACATGTTTCCAGAATGCCTTGTGACACTCTGACAAAAACAGCTCTCCGGTGGACAGCAGATGGGAAAAGGAGACAAGGACGACATAAAGAAACATGAAGAAGGTCAGTAGAATGGGAAATGAAGGAATGTAAACTGACATGGGATACCATGGGCATAAAAGCAGCAGACCGTCAGCAGTGGAGATCACTTGTGAATGCCTTATGTGTCAACAGCCACATCAAGAGAATATAGATATATAATAGATAGATAAGAGATAAACCTGAATACAAGTCCATTGGTGAACAAAAGTTTAAGAGCATCAAGTAAGTAAATAATATTTCCACACTAGAATGTAGTATTGCAACAGTTTTTTTTTTTGGGAGGGCAGAGTGATGACTTTGTAATTATTTCCTGTGGTCAACTCTAAAATAGTGGTGTATGCAGTACTCTGTAACAGAATGGAAAAAAACTTAATTATTTGCTAGGTGGTCTTAAACCTTTAGCTCCCATTGTATATTAAAAGGATGATATCATACCTTATTATCCCTTTGTGGGATGCAATTTTTCGTTATTTGAAGCCCCACTCTGGCTCTTGCCGGGGGCCGCAATATAGCCCGACCGTAATATGGTTTAATGGCTGAAAGCAGTTTCTGGAACTTCTGCACGGGTGATCCTCATTCACATGATGGCACTAAGGACTAAATTGTTCCTGAAGACTCCCGCCATCTGCCTTACACATCATGGGATGAGTATGTTATCCTCAGTAAAACTGCAGGGTAATAAAAAACAAACATATCTTGCACACCGCAGAATAAAAGCTAAGGCAGACACCTTCATTCTTTAGTCTAGAAAAAGATTCTGGTACTTCAGTTTTCATTCACCTCAAACAAGAGAAACTCAGTAGTTCCTGGTGTAGTCCAAACACATCATGTGACATCGAGATGTTTTCTGTTGCAGTTTTCTTTAAATAATTTGTGTTTTGATAATCCTAACATCAAACCCAACTCTAAACCTAAACCCTAATCCTAACCCATGCTAAATACAGCTACCCTAAATAAAGCTAATAGATTTGTTTTGGGTTAAATTAAAATTGAAGTAACAAGTTTCCTAGCACACAGTGTCAGTAGCGCAAGTAACATAGCAAAAACAAACTGTGAGAATTAGCAGGAACAACTTAAGACTTAGTAGTAGGGTCAAGCTAGAACTTTCTGAAAAATCAAGAAAAATTATAATTATATTAAAGACAAAAGTAACATGAAAGTATGATACTGCAATGAAACAAAAAGTGCTTAATCATGTCTGTAAATTCAAATATCAGTACAGCTGCATCATGGGAGCCACCATATTGCAGTGGCTAGATGGTCGCCGGCTGGCCTGAAGATTGATAAAAATCAGCATAGGGCACGTTTATTATTTTTTGTTACATGACCTCAGCTGCCAGGTTGACACATTTTGGGTGGGGAAAAAATCGAGGCACTGGCCCTCTAGCAGGTCTGCTGTAAAAAGGCAACTAATGAAAGGTTTGGTTTACTGAAATCCGATATGTTGAACTGAAAGGCACAGATATCACAGCCTTGCTGTATATTACAACACAGTATGCCAACCACCTTTTGAGGGTGAATTTAGAAGATAAAGGACAATAAAGGTCATCTCTTATCTATTCAGTTCTACAATTCCAAAGGTCATTGTCTTTATTTATAGGCTTAACAGGGTTTGAAGACATTATCTAAAGGCAGGTGAATAATTAAGGGCTTACTGAATATGTGTTGGACTGAAAAACAGATATTGCAGCCTAGCTGTAAACTACAATAACATGCCAACCACCATTTTAAGGGTGAACAAAGAAGAAGAAGAAACTCAGGCCACGACTAAAAACTGTTCTGCGAATGGCCATTATTGTTGTCAGTTTTTTTTTTTATAAAAGACTTATTTAATTGTTTACCAGATAGTAACATATACAGGATTGGCATAAAAAGAACAATCCTTTTTAAACTCTGAATTTTTTTTTTTTTGTGCAGGATCCGGTTTTATTCTCTGGCACTCTGCGTTTCAACATCGACCCATTTGGCACACATTCAGACGATGAAATCTGGACAACACTGGAGTATGCAAAACTGAAGTCCTTTGTTGCAGAACTTCCCGGAGGACTGTCCTATTTGTGTGAGGAAGGAGGACAGAATCTGAGGTAGAGTGTGATGATATTTATAGCGTTTGGTTTAACTCTTTCAGGCCCATGAATTTTGACAGACATAGCCCACATTAATTTCCCTTTACACAAATCTCAGTGGGGGTGATGTTTAAAAATGGCAATAGAGAATGTAGTATACTTCTTATCCTTTCTTCTTCTTCTTCAGCATATCAGATATCACCTACCTCCACTCATCTCTCTAATTGGCCTTCATTCCGAACCCCTTGAGGTTCATTGCTGCAGATATCACCCACCTCCACTCATCTCTCTGGTTGGCCTTCATTCCGACCCCTTGAGGTTCATTGCTGCAGATATCACCCGCCTCCATTCATCTCTCTAGTTGGCCTTCGTCAGCATTCTGAGCCCTTGAGGTTCATTGCTGCAGATATCACCCGCCTCCACTCATCTCTCTGGTTGGCCTTCATTCCGACCCCTTGAGGTTCATTGCTGCAGATATCACCCACCTCCATTCATCTTTCTGGTTGGATTTCTCTTTCTAGTTGGTGACACCAAGTGTTTGCAGGTATGTCTAGATATTATCTCTCCATCGTCTTCTTGGTCTGCCTCGTAGTCTACTTCTTCTAATCCCTGCAAAAGTGTTTTTTTAAAGAGAAATGAATGTACAATTTCACAAGAAGATTTTACACACAAAATTCTTCACTTACCATGGTTCAGCCACACAAGCAGTGAATATCCAAATCTGAGAATAACATTCTAAAATGTGTTCAATTTCCTAACAAATTTCAAAGTTATGATAGATTTCTGCTTTATTTTAACACTTAGAGGCTCTAAGTTCCAGCAGAGTGCTGAACAAAATTTCAAAGAAACAAATGGCAGAAAAATCGATCATTACACACAATATATTTACTTGTACAGTTATATACAGACTGCAGCTGCAATGATTTAAATGTAGCTTAGCCATAATATGGTAGTATCTATTTGTTTGGAGCACTTTCCTTCTCTTACACCCTAAAATGGAAGCAATGGAACATTCTCTGTGTCAGACTCATCAGAACTCCTAGATTCTCTAACAGCTGATTGAACTCAGCTGCTGCTGGTGTAAATTCACTGTCCGAATCACTTTCTGAAAATTCTAAATTTTTATTATCATTATCAGAATTAAAAACATCTGACTGAAACAATTTCAGAGCTTCGGCTGTAAAAAGATGCATTTTGCGACCTGTACTGTGGTTGGAACATTTGTATCCATGGTACTCGAACACGAACTTAGAGAACGCGCTGTTGAAAATTAACGCTAGCTATGAATCACATGAATCTGCGCCCACTTGTCTTGGAACACTGACTTTTACTCAAAGAAAGATGTTAGAGTAACCTTCCCTGAATACTTTAAAAGTATTTTCAAACTTAAGAAGTAAATCCAGCGCCGTATGCGAAATAATATTTACGGGACACACGATCGACGCTGACAGTGTTGTTTAGGCAAATCAAAACTTCTCAATCAACACTCACAGCGTTGATCAGGCTTAAAGAGTTAAAAGTTCATTTTAAAAATAAAGTAAAGTACCCTTTTCATGTCTTTGACACATCAAGCACATAATTCATGACCTATGTTTTTATAAACCAGTCAGCACTTTTCCTATATTTTTATAGATCAATCAGCACTTGACCTATATTTTTTATTGATCAGTCAGCACTTGACCTATATTTTTTATTGATCAGTCAGCACTTGACCTATATTTTTTTTTATAGATCAATCAGCACTTGACCTATATTTTTATAAACCAATCAGCACTTGACATATATTTGTATACACCAAGTAGCAGTTGATTGGTGATGTAGTCAACATTGTGCCCACAGTCATAACTCCACAGGACTTTACCTGGTACCCTGGTCCACCCCGAAGCAGAAGTCAACTTTGAAAGAAAAAATAATTTGCAGTTACAAGCTTAGTAGAGTAAAATTCTCAAGAGCCATTTTTTAATCATAATTAGTTAATTATAGCTGCAACTTCTTGGTAACCAGTCACCCCATCGTTGTCCATTTCTTGCCAGTTAACATCACACAGAATGCCCATCACTTTCCCTTGTGAAAGAAATCAATCATCTACAGTTTTGGCAAAGCCAATAGCATATCAGCAAAGCTAATAGCATACAAACGCATAAGACAGCCATTGAAAGTTCAAACACACACAAACAGGTCTTCCATTAAAATTGCAGTTCATCAGGATGGAAGCAGTAATTACAACAGACTAGGCTTTTGCACATGTAGGACTACTTAAAGTACCACCAGTTTTCTGAAATTCATCACTTTCTGAATCTGCTGTTCACAACACCAACCACTATTGACACAGTCAAAAGGCATTCTAAATGTAATATGCTGTTCACAATGTTGCACTATGCACTCATTATCTGGGCAATGGAACTATATACTTTCAGTTCACGTGTGGGAGAGGGGAAAAAAGAATATATCCACTGCACTAACAAAGAATTTGCTGAATTTGGATATGGTTTTCAGAATGGCGCAGATATCATAGCCTAGCTGTAAACCACTAAACAACTTGCCAGTCACCTTTTTTTTTTAAAGTGTAAATGAAGAAGAAGAAGTAGAAGAAGAAGAAGCATACTTTTATCCAAACACTGTGTTCTGATTGTTCTGTTTTTATTTTAATGCCTGTGACAGGTTTCCATTACAAGTTTTTGTTCCCCTTTTTTGTCTTATCCTTGTTCAAACCATTTACTTTAAATGTCTAATAATTTTGTATTTTAATTTACTTTAAAGATCTAATAACTTTTGTGTTTTTAATTCCAGTGTCGGCCAAAGAAATGGTCAGATGCACTACTTTTGTGTTTCTAAATTCCAGTGTTGGCCAAAGAAAGCTTGTCTGCATAAATTTACCTACTATTTTTATGTTTCTCATTTCCAGTGTCGGCCAAAGGCAGCTCATCTGCATGACCCGGAGTCTTCTGAGAAAAACTAAAGTCCTCATGCTTGATGAAGCCACAGCTGCCGTGGACATGGAAACTGATAGCTGCTTTTGTGTGCTTCTCATTTCTCAGACTCAACACAATTGGACCAAAGAAAGCTTGTCGGTGCATATATTTACCTGGACTATGATAGGTTAAATATATTTCTCATCTGTCAGATTCCAGTGTCAACACAAATGGAAAGCTTGTCTGTCAGAAATATGCATATGGATTACCTACTATTTTTTATGTTTCATGGACATAGGTGGGTAAACAGTGAAATATCTTGATGGTAGAAGGATGGATTCATAGAAACAATCATGGACTATGATAGGTGGGTAAACTGCATATATGGATTTACCTACTATTTTATGTGCGGTAGAAGGATCTCATTTCCAGTGTCGGCCAGAAAAAGGCAGCTCATCTGCATGACCCGGAGTCATTCTGTCAGAAATATCTTGATGCGGTAGAAGGAACATAGACTCAACACAATCATGGACTATGATATGGGAAGCTGTCACATATCTTGATGCCGTAGAAGGATGGATTCATGGACTCAAACAATCATGGACTATGAGGTGGGCTGTCTGTCAGCAGTAGAAGGATGGATTCATAGACTCAACACAATCAGGGACTATGATAGGTGGGTAAACATGTCTGTCATATCTTGATGCGGTAGAAGGATGGATTCATAGACTCAACACAATCATGGACTATGATAGGTGGGTAAACATGTCTGTCAGAAATATCTTGATGCCGTAGAAGGATGGATTCATAGACTCAACACAATCATGGACTATGATAGGTGGGGTAAACATGTCTGTCAGAAATATCTTGATGCCGTAGAAGGATGGATTCATAGACTCAACACAATCATGGACTATGATAGGTGGGTAAACATGTCTGTCAGAAATATCTTGATGCCGTAGAAGGATGGATTCATAGACTCAACACAATCATGGACTATGATAGGTGGGTAAACATGTCTGTCAGAAATATCTTGATGCCGTAGAAGGATGGATTCATAGACTCAACACAATCATGGACTATGATAGGTGGGTAAACATGTCTGTCAGAAATATCTTGATGCGGTAGAAGGATGGATTCATAGACTCAACACAATCATGGACTATGATAGGTGGGTAAACATGTCTGTCAGAAATATCTTGATGCCGTAGAAGGATGGATTCATAGACTCAACACAATCATGGACTATGATAGGTGGGTAAACATGTCTGTCAGAAATATCTTGATGCGGTAGAAGGATGGATTCATAGACTCAACACAATCATGGACTATGATAGGTGGGTAAACATGTCTGTCAGAAATATCTTGATGCGGTAGAAGGATGGATTCATAGACTCAACACAATCATGGACTATGATAGGTGGGTAAACATGTCTGTCAGAAATATCTTGATGCCGTAGAAGGATGGATTCATAGACTCAACACAATCATGGACTATGATAGGTGGGTAAACATGTCTGTCAGAAATATCTTGATGCGGTAGAAGGATGGATTCATAGACTCAACACAATCATGGACTATGATAGGTGGGTAAACATGTCTGTCATAAATATCTTGATGCCGTAGAAGGATGGATTCATAGACTCAACACAATCATGGACTATGATAGGTGGGTAAACATGTCTGTCAGAAATATCTTGATGCCGTAGAAGGATGGATTCATAGACTCAACACAATCATGGACTATGATAGGTGGGTAAACATGTCTGTCAGAAATATCTTGATGCCGTAGAAGGATGGATTCATAGACTCAACACAATCATGGACTATGATAGGTGGGTAAACATGTCTGTCAGAAATATCTTGATGCGGTAGAAGGATGGATTCATAGACTCAACACAATCATGGACTATGATAGGTGGGTAAACATGTCTGTCAGAAATATCTTGATGCGGTAGAAGGATGGATTCATAGACTCAACACAATCATGGACTATGATAGGTGGGTAAACATGTCTGTCAGAAATATCTTGATGCGGTAGAAGGATGGATTCATAGACTCAACACAATCATGGACTATGATAGGTGGGTAAAACATGTCTGTCAGAAATATCTTGATGCGGTAGAAGGATGGATTCATAGACTCAACACAATCATGGACTATGATAGGTGGGTAAACATGTCTGTCAGAAATATCTTGATGCGGTAGAAGGATGGATTCATAGACTCAACACAATCATGGACTATGATAGGTGGGTAAACATGTCTGTCAGAAATATCTTGATGCGGTAGAAGGATGGATTCATAGACTCAACACAATCATGGACTATGATAGGTGGGTAAACATGTCTGTCAGAAATATCTTGATGCGGTAGAAGGATGGATTCATAGACTCAACACAATCATGGACTATGATAGGTGGGTAAACATGTCTGTCAGAAATATCTTGATGCGGTAGAAGGATAAATTTGATTGACTGGCTGGTTCTGCACCACAATGTTGAATAAAGAATCGACATCACAGCACTCGGGACACCCCCATAAGTGCTCCATCCCCATCTTCAGCATCAAGCGAAGAGTTAAAATTCTGACGGTACCAGTAACTGTCTGATTGTATATCCATCTTGCCTTTTCCCTGAGTGTCGAGCGTCAGCCAGATCCCCTTGTAACTCCTCGCAGTACCATTCTCCTCAAACCAACCAAAATTATCTATCTGTTCCTCGGCACTGTTAACACGCTCCCACAGGGCCCTCACAACATCCACCTTGTCATACATCAGTTCACCACCTAGTGATGCAGAACTGCCTGCTTATTTCCAAACACACCAGCATGACCTGGAAAAAAAATCTAAAGAATGCTAACTACCTGGGACCTCTGAAGTGATGCTTGCCACTCTGCACGGAGCATGCCTGTCTCCACCTTTCTCAGCATGCTCTGTGAGTCAGTTAAAATGATGACAGGTGTGTACAGCTGATTCTCAAACCAGCAGAAGGCAGCAGTGACTGCCTCCACCTCAATTCTCAAACCAGACGTTAATTTGCACCACTTGGTAGTGAATTGATGTATGACAAGCTAGATGTTGTAAAGGCCCTTTGGAAGCGAGTAAACAGAGTGAAGGCACAGATGGATCATCATGATCTGAGGAGAATAGTGAGGTGAGGAGTGACTGGGAGATCTGGTGGAAGGGGAGGGGGGATGAGGTCAGATGGAACACAATCAGACTTTTATGATACCATCAGATTGTGACTCTGTACTTGCTGCTGAAGATAGGGACAGAGCACTTATCAGAAAGCCTTAAGTGCTGTGATTTTGATTCTTCAAGGTGGCAAACCATTTCGTTTTCTGTCTCTCTATATAATATAATCGATTCTGTGCAGGCTTTTTGTGTCTTATTAATCCATTCCTGAAGTGATATTTTCTGGTCCCTCCTGCAGTCTTTCTCATAAATCTCATTTCCATGGTTACTAATTGTCTTTTCTGGTTTGTTGTGAGTGACCATGATAAACACTGGTAGCAGAGGGTGGAGATAAATATGCTCTGTATGAGATTTTGTGTACGTTCTGATTATGTTGTGAAAGAGAGGAAAAGGGAAAAGGGGCCGGGGGAAGGGGAGGGTGCCGGCTGTCCCAGTACCTGGTTTTCTTTGCTGCATGGGATATTAATTTCTTTATCTAATTTTCCATTTTTGGTGAATATTATTCCCAGATATTTAAACTCTGATGCCTGTTTAATACCTTTGCACCCAGCACCATTTTTAAATTGAGAGTTTTTGTACACAGTGAAAATCCAACGTTTTTTTTTTTTTTTTAAACATAAAAAAGACACAAGTACTGTCCCCAGCCAAAACCGCTCAAAGTACAAGAGCCTAATGTATTTTCTTCAAAATGTATTTGCATTTATAGAAGAATATGTAAAAATATAACCAAATAAATAAATCTGAAACAAAATTTGATAGGTATTCCTGAACTTAAATATTGGTTAATAATTCTATAATAGTCAGTGTTTCACTTTAACAATATAAATTTACTCTTATTTCAGCTTCCTAAAGTTTTCAACATTAATAAATTATTAAAAAGAAATGGTAATTATTCTTAGTAAATAGAAACAGTTTAGTAAAGTAAAGAAGAGAATACTTTTTAAGTCAGTTGTGTATTGGGTATATGATGCTAGTTATGTTAGTCAGCACTTGGTGGGTCAACTGGTCAACTTTGACTTCCATGGGTCCTTTCCTGGTGCTCAATTTAGATTATGTTGACATGGAAACCAACAACCATTTTGGAAAAAACCTGGCACAATGCAGATTTAATCCCAACATCTTAGTGCCATCAGGTTAGCATCTAGCTACTGTGCTGTCATGTTGGAGGTATTTGAGGTTTTAAATGATGGATCAACGTCATGGCACATGATGTTGATCCATAAGTACTCCGTTCTTCTTCTAACTCAAGTCTGAGTCCGAAGAAGCTCAGCACAGTGCACAGGCTCTGTAGCATCGGCAAGGATCCTGAAATACTTTGGGTAGACTTTTAACTCCAAATTTTGCCTGAACAGTGCCGTTAGGCTACTCTTTTTCGATTTCCAACTGCCAAGGCACTACAATGTACATGGGCATCTGATCTCACTGCCCAGAGACCAGGGGGAATTTTAAGAAGTCCAAGTCCATCTGAAAAAAATCCCAGCTCTTACAGGGGATTGAACCCAGACCCTCTAGCACTCAAGGCAGACACAGTTCCTTGAGACCACACAAGGTAAACTTTCCCTAATAATTGTTGTCATTCTTCATTTTTAGGATACTGGTTTTGGATGCCGGGCGTATTGCTGAGTTTGACACAGTACCAAACCTGCTGGAGAATAAAGATTCAGTTTTCTACAGTATGGCCAAAGAGGCTAATTTGTTGAACTACAACCCTCCCCACAGGCACATCAACGAAGAAGAGACCACTGCATAAATTATGCCACTTTTTTTATTGACTTCTTCTTCTTGTCTTCAGTTACTTAAGGGAAGTGTTTTGGGAAATTTAAAAAGCTTTTGTGTAATCTTTTCCTGTGTTTTCTTTTCCTACAAATAAAGTTGCTAGTACTCAACATAAAGTGTCTTAAAGGGTTCCCATGTTGACCACATAGTGTCTTTCCCAGCAGCATTGGGGGGAAAAATGTCTTTAAAAAAATAAGATGGTATGATTGCATATGGCAGAGAAAAATCCCTGGCTCTCTCTAATTCAACTATCTTTCATTCCTTATTTACCATATTTTAGGAAAGTGTGTATCCTGATGTGGGGAGGGGGAGTTGGTGTTGTGAGACTGAGAATTTAAGGCCACATGGCTAGTGTAGTCCAACATGTTGGGATTTGTATATTTTTTACAGACAGAACAATATTTCCATTCCTTCCTATAGATCGAACCCGTTCTCCTACAATCTAACAGTTCAACCAGCCATTCCATCTATTTCTAATGTATTGTGTAAGTTAGTCTTCATTTCTCTAAAGTGATTCTTGATTTCACCATTCAATCTTTTGCTCTGTCTCCCCTTTCTCATTGCTCAGTATTTGTTAGTTTTCAAATATGGCTGTCGGTGGTAGTTGATACCAGTGCATTCTTGTCATATTGCCAGATTATTTTATCTGTTGTTCTTCAATAAATTGTTTCACTGGTTTCAGTTCTAGTTTTGGGAATGTTGCTGATTGTTTTAACTGTTTGTCTTTTGTAGTGATTCTACTAGTAAATATGCTAATAGATGTAGAATATTAAATCAAATGTATTTTAATAATGAAATGTTTTTTTTTAAACAAACTGCATCATATGAGAGCTGTGAATGGAATTAAGCATGAAACAAATGAAATTTTAAACACAACTATACTTATTATGAAGAATAATTTATGTTGATTAAACCATATGCTGTTTAGCTTCAAGCTATACAATATGTAGAAAGTAGAGAATGTAGGTGAAATATAAAGTTGCTATGTGCTGAAATATAACATGGAACTGTGAACAATTCAGTGTAACAGATGTGTGTTAAGGGATGTCGATGTAGCGTAGTGGTAAGAAGCAGGTGTGCGGATCTGAAGGTCGTAGGTTTGCTACCTGGCAGAGCCAGAATTTTTTTTATTTCCAGGTTGACCCAGCCTTAAGTGGGTACCGGGTGCAGTTTCGGGAAGTAAAGACCACATTCCCCACCTTGTGCCAACTGGTCTATAAAAATCTAGGTGTAGCCCTATAAGTCTAAAGGCCTGGAAAAGGGTCCTTTACGTAGATGTGTGTTAAATGCTAAACTATGTCATGTTATTATGTTATGTTTTCATAATCGATGTCATTATACATTGGGCATTGTCATGCATGCTCAGTTCTCCAGTCCACCCAAGTGGGTAGATGTAGATCCAAATAATGAAGGTTAATTGCGGCTTTCAAATATCTACCGATTCAGAGGGTAGACTACCAGTTGTGATTTTCTGACGTATGTTCTGGAGTCTGATACAATTACTACATGTGTGGTTGTTTGTTCTGATGCTCATGAAAGTGGTCTTTAAGCAGCAGTTATTGAGTGTGCGTGTTAAAGATATTAAAGAGGTGCCTGTTTGTACCTCAAAGTATCTCTTACAGAAGTGCTTAAATAATTGTGCCATTAAAATATAAAATAAAAAAAGATCCTTCACTACATATCATTGAGGAGTGCCAGGAAATAAACCTGGATAAAGATGTGACTCGAGGTCTGCGTGGTCTCGAGGCATGGCATTCGCCTTGAGTGCTGGAGGTCCCGGGTTCAGGCCCTAGTAAAGGCTGTTTTTTTTTTCACGTGGACTTCTAGTAATTTCCCCTGGTCTCAGGTGGTAAGGTTGGATGCTTGTGTGGAGCATTTATGGGTTACTAACCGTGTGCCATGATGTTGATCCGTTGTTTAAACCTAAACCTAAAGATATATGACCTTTTTCTTCTAACATGGCTACTTTTGGGGTGTATTCAACCTCATAATAATGTGTGTGCATGCATATATGTGTGCATGCATATGTGTGTGTACATATGTGTGTGTCTGTATATGTGTGTGCATGCATATGTGTGTGTCTGTATATGTGTGTGCATGCATATGTGTGTGTGCATATGTGTGTGCATGCATATGTGTGTGTGCATATGTGTGTGTCTGTATATGTGTGTGTGTGCATATGTGTGTGTGCATATGTGTGTGTACATATGTGTGTGTCTGTATATGTGTGTGCATGCATATGTGTGTGTGCCTATGTGTGTGTACATATGTGTGTGCATGTATATGTGTGTGCATGCATGTGTGTGTGTGTGCATATGTGTGTGCGTGCATATGTGTGTGTGTGCATATGTGTGTGCAGGCATATGTGTGTGCGTGCATATGTGTGTGTGTGTGCATATGTGTGTGTGCATATGTGTGTGTGTGCATATGTGTGTGCAGGCATATGTGTGTGCGTGCATATGTGTGTGTGCATATGTGTGCATATGTGTGTGCATATGTGTGTGCAGGCATATGTGTGTGCGTGCATATGTGTGTGTGTGCATATGTGTGTGCATATGTGTGTGCAGGCATATGTGTGTGTGCATATGTGTGTGCAGGCATATGTGTGTGCGTGCATATGTGTTTGGTTCAACCTCACCAGGACCAAACACTGAGCAACCAACACCCATTGACAAAAAGTGTCACCATTTGGATGAGGATCATGTGGGCACAAGTCCTAGAAACCCTGTTCGACCCTTAGGTTATATTTGGGGCCCCTAACTACAGCCGGAGTGAGGCTTTAAAATAACTAAAAATTGCCTCCTACATTGGGATGGGAAGCATTAATGCAGTTACCACTAACAGCAACCCACCCACCTACTGGAATATAATTATTTTGTTTCTTTATGTCCGTATTTGTGATTGTACATTTATGTTGACATATTATATAATAAATATTGCTGGCTTTGAAAATTATAAATTTTGTTGCTTAGGTTATTATTTTTACCTTGCGTGCCTTTAGATTATTTTATTGAATCAGCATAGTCAACCTCTGGCTCTGCTTACATTAAATTTAAGTTAAAGGGCTCTCTGTGATGCACTCACTATATGGTGGTAGTCTTGATACATGTCCGAACCATCTAATCTGTTTTCTCTTGATGTAGCTTAGCCCTGGTTCCATCCCACCTTCTTTCCTGATATCAACATTTGTGATTCTGTCTCTTCTAGTTACATTCAGAATTTGTCAAAGACATTTCATTTCTGTTTTCAATTGTTCCTCTTACAAATGTAAAGTGCCAGTTCTGGTCTTACATAACCCACTGGATTCTGTGTTTGAAGAGGAAAAGACACTTCTGAAACACAATCCCATTCACGATGGTACCTCACCATCAGGGTAATCGACAAAAAGTGTCTTCTTCTTCTTCTTCTCTTCCACCTAGTACCTCAGCGAAGTGTCGGGGGGAAATGTAATGTTCGTTGATGAGCTCTGTCAGGAGCACCGTTAAGACTGATGTTCATTTCTGTAAGTCTTTTCCTAATGCCATCAGTCGATATATTCCGAGGTCTTCCACTTGCTCTATATCTGTTTTAAAGTTTTAGTGTGGCTTTCTGTGGCAGATAGTACCACGTCATTCTTGTTAGGTGTCCAAACCACTTCATTTGTTGTTCTTTGATGACCTGTAAGACTAGTTTTATTCTTAGCATCCCCCTGATTTCGTGGTTTCGTATTCTGTCTATTCTTGAAACTCCTGCGACTCTTCTAAGGCATTTAATCTCTGTTGTCTGAGATAAAAGTCTCTGCCTGCATCATTCTCATTCCAACAGATGTCATCCTTTTTAATCACTTAACTCTTTTTATTCTAGACACAGCTTACATTACAGTGGTCAATCTGAGTTAAAGAATGTTTCTTACAAATTTTCTAGAGGGTGTGGGTAGGGGGCCCAGCCACCTCTGCCCCTGAACTCATGTTTAGAAGGGGGCGGAGCTAGAGATTCTAGAGACCCTGATCAACTGCTAAAGAAGATATAATTAGTGATCTCGGTGAGTGGGGATGTCTCTCTCTAATTTATTTCTGATCTACGTTAGTGAAGATGTCTCTCTGGGTCTCATTTCTCTCTGACCTAGGTGAGAATATGTCTCTCACTGTTTCATTTCTCTCTGGCCTAGGTGACTCAGGATGTCCTTCTGTCTTATTTCTCTCTGACCTAGGTGAGTCAGGATGTCTTTCTAGGTCTCATTTCTCTCTGACCTAGGTGAGTCAGGATGTCTCTCTTTTTTTTTTTTCTGTCTGATCTAGGTGAGTTAAGATGTCTCTCTTGATCTCATTTCTCTCTTACCTAGGTGAGTCAGTATGTTTCATTTTTCTCTGACTTAGGTAAGTCAGAATGTTTTATTTCTCTCTGACTTAGGTAAGTCAGAATGTTTCATTTCTCTCTCACATAGGTGAATCAGATTGTTTCATTTCTCTCTTACCTAGGCAGGTCAGGATGTTTCATTTCTCTCTTACCTAGGTGAGTCAGGATGTTTCATTTCTCTCTGACCTAGGTGAGTCAGGATGTTTCATTTCTCTCTTACCTAGGTGAGTCAGGATGTTTCATTTCTCTCTTACCTAGGTGAGTCAGGATGTTTCATTTCTCTCTGACCTAGGTGAGTCAGGATGTTTCATTTCTCTCTGACCTAGGTGAGTCAGGATGTTTCATTTCTCTCTGACCTAGGTGAGTCAGGATGTCTGTGTCAGTCTCATTTCTCTCTGAACTAGATGAGTCAGGATGTCTGTGTCAGTCTCATTTCTCTCTGAACTAGATGAGTCAGGATGTCTGTGTCAGTCTCATTTCTCTCTGAACTAGATGAATCAGGATGTCTCTCTTGGTCTAATTTCACTCAGTGTCTGTTGCTATCTTGTCAAGCTTGAGCAGGGGTGTCGACACCAAAAAATAAAGAAAATATGGGGGTGGAAAGCAGGGGTCTAAGCCCCTATAAACTTTCTAAAGGGGTAAGGCGATCCTCAAAGAGGAGGGGCCAAGCCTTGTTTTTATGCTTAGAGTTAAAATAATAATAGTATTTATAATAATAATAACGTGCCAAATTTGATCTAAGTAAAATAATTGTTATTGCTTTTTGTATTTTAGGGGTGTGGTCGCTCACATGTGGTAGTGCCTCTGCCTAAGCTCTCATGTGGTAGTGCCTCTACCTAAGTTCTCATGTGGTGGTGCCTCTGCCTAAGCTCTCATGTGATAGTGCCTCTACCTAAGCTCTCATGTGGTAGTGCCTCTGCCTAAGCTCCCATGTGATAGTGCCTCTACCTAAGCTCCCATGTGGTAGTGCCTCTACCTAAGTTCACATGTGGTAGTGCCTCTTCCTAAGCTCCCATGTGGTAGTGCCTCTACCTAAGCTCTCATGTGGTAGTGCCTCTTCCTAAGCTCTCATGTGGTAGTGCCTCTTCCTAAGCTCTCATGTGGTAGTGCCTCTACCTAAGCTCTCATGTGGTAGTGCCTCTACCTAAGCTCTCATGTGGTAGTGCCTCTTCCTAAGCTCTCATGTGGTAGTGCCTCTTCCTAAGCTCTCATGTGGTAGTGCCTCTACCTAAGCTCTCATGTGGTAGTGCCTCTACCTAAGCTCTCATGTGGTAGTGCCTCTACCTAAGCTCACATGTAGTAGTGCCTCTACCTAAGCTCCCATGTAGTAGTGCCTCTACCTAAGCTCCCATGTACTAGTGCCTCTTTCTAAGCTCTCATGTGGAAGTGCCTCTGCCTAAGCTCTCATGTGGTAGTGCCTCTAGCTAAGCTTTCATGTGGTAGTGCCTCTGTCTAAGCTCACACGTGGTAGTGTCTCTACCTAAGCTCCCATTTGGTAGTGCCTCTACCTAAGCTCCCATGTGGTAATGCCTCTACCTAAGCTCCCATGTGGTAGTGCCTCTACCAAAGCTTTAATGTGGTAGTGCCTCTACCTAAGCTCCCATGTGGTAGTGTCTCTACCCAAGCTCCCATGTAGTAGTGCCTCTACCTAAGCTCCCAAGTGGTAGTGCCTCTACCTAAGCTCCCATGTCGTAGAGCCTCTGATTTTTCTATCTGTTATCTGTACACACACACACGCACACACACACAAGTTAAAAATAAGAGGATTGATCTAATTGCACTGAGTTTTATCTCATATGGTTCAGTCTCGCTCGGAAGAACGACTGGCCGCCTGTCGAAAGCGTAGCGCAAAACACGAACACCATAGCTCTGGTGACGATCCCTATGAATATCCGTGAAAACATTTCCCTCGTGAACCTTAGGACTCAGCCCTGAAACGAACCCACGTCCTTCGGAGCGTGAGACGAATGGCTTGACTACTTCGCCACAATGAACACAGAATCTCTATTTGTCACTGTCCATCTGTGACTCAACAAGGCCACACGCTAGCAACATTTATGTAAGTGTTCCATGAGCAGAATATTTTGGCAAACAGCGAGTTGAGTTTAGCTGAGTCAAGAATTGACATCACAGCACTCGGGGCATTCCCATGCGGGCTCCGTTCTCATCTTCAGCAGCCAGCGCAGAGTTCCAATACTGATGGCACTGGTCACAATCTGGTTATATGTCCGTCTTGCCTTTCCTCTGAGTGTAGTGAGCCGGCCAGACCCTCTGGTTACACCCAGGGCCTTATTCTCTCCAGGCCATAAAAATCTTTTTTTTTTTTTTTTTTTTTACTGATTCCGTTGCTTGTTCTCAAAGGGCCTTGGCCACATCTGCCTTGTCATGTACCCAGTGGTGCAGATCCAGCTAATTTTTATGTCTGTTCATTACCCACCAAGCCGACATGGCCTGGAGAAAAGATCTAAAGCATGCTCACTACCCCCTGACCTTCCCAGTAGAGCTTGCCACTCTGCTCGAAGTATCCCTATCTTCACCTTTCTCGGCCTTTTTTCAGTCTGTTATAATTACGACATATGTATGCATCTTGTTCTCTAGCCACCGGAGAGCTACAGTTACCGCCTCCACCTCTATTCTCATGCTAGATGTTGTGATGTCGTATGCTAGGCTGTCTTGCACGAAAGATTTTTCATTGGCTTACGCTACGAGCTCACAGGGACTTCTCTGGGATAATTTCAGACAATATTAGAGATGATCACTTCTTTAAAAAAAAAAAAAAGAAGTGAAGTTAGTGGTTGTCAGAGCATACGATAGCGTAATTGCTAAATACTTAAATATATTTCTTAAGACAGAATAATAGTATCCCAGATCACTTTTAAAATCCGCAAAAATGACTGTATAATATCGCCTCACTCTGGCTTTTACCAGGGGCTGCAATATAGGCAGGTCATTAATATGGCAAATTGTCTGAACGCGGTTTCTGGGACCTCTCCATGGCGATCCTCACCCACATGGTGGCACTTTGTGTCATCAGGTGATTATCGCTTGTGTGATGTCCTAGTGGGGTAGAAAGTCAGTCAGACTACACAATATAATTGCTACAAATGTTTGAAAGTACACTTAGAATATATTGAACTTGACAATCATATATACTCCTACAATCTTTTAATGCATAAATTATGCAATACTAAATAACTGTGCCAGTTGTTTGTCCATCACGACGGATGTAGACTACTTTTCATCCAAAGTAGTAATGATCAAAGATTATGAGTGCAAAGGTGGCTGATTAGTCCAGTATGAGCCTGGAAAGTTCTTGAGCAGTGCGGACAACAGATAGAAACCGCAGTAAGTATATAATTAGCAATACGGTTCTGTCTAGTCTGCCTCCGTTTTTCTGCCTGTGTATCTCCGCTGTCTGGCAGACTGATGCACTATGTCTGAGGTATGAACGCCATCCAGAACAGTCTTGTGCAGCAGCCTCCCACGTCGCTATGTTGATGCCAAAAGAATTAAGAGCAGTCTTGAGAGTGTCTTTATAGCGCTTGTTCTATCCTACCTGTGACCTCTGCCCTTGCTGGAGAATTGGAAAACTAACATAAGTGAGAGGCACAAACATGCATAAAGTGGCGATTGGTCGGGCGGTTGGTTACAATGCCAGACTCTCATGCCAGAGACCCGGGGTTCGACACTCGATAAGAAGATGGAGGGTTTTCTGTCAGGGGCAAAAATTAAACCTCCTAACCTGCACAGTCCGTGGCGACAGCACTAGCCATGCTGACCTGAATTCTCAGGCTAACGACCCCCTTTCTACACCGCGCCCTAAAAAGTGGTGCATACACACAGTAGTGACAGTTGATAGTGACAGTTGACAGTGACAGTTGACAGTGACAGTGACAGTTGACAGTGACAGTTGATAGTGACAGTTGACAGTTGACAGTGACAGTGACAGTTGACAGTGACGGTTGACAGCGACAGTGACAGTTGACAGTGACAGTGACAGTTGACAGTGACAGTTGACAGTGACGGTTGACAGTGACAGTGACAGTTGACAGTGACAGTGACAGTTGACAGTTGATAGTGACAGTTGATAGTGACAGTTGACAGTGACGGTTGACAGTGACAGTGACAGTTGACAGTGACGGTTGACAGTGACAGTGACAGTTGACAGTGACGGTTGACAGTGACAGTGACAGTTGACAGTTGATAGTGACAGTTGATAGTGACATTTGACAGTTGACAGTGACAGTTGACAGTGACAGTTGACAGTGACAGTTGACAGTGACAGACAATATAAATATCTATTAACAAAGTAGAAAAAAAACGCTATACATCAGAATTATAACCCGGAAGGGCTGAACAGGATATTGTTGTAGAAATAGTATAAATACTACTACTTTCCCTCGTCCTGCTCTTGAAATCCTCTACTTTAAAAAAATAATAATTCATAAGTGGATTGTCACCGTCACATGTACGGCTCTTGAGTACGTCGAGATTTTTCAGAAAGTCGTCACTTTGCGACATGAGTTCGTGAAACTACTCCCGTTGTGAAAATAATCTTCAGATACATATTCGTCGGGTTTTTAACAATACAATGCGAAATGGATTCGTACAAGATGTCTCGTCTGCTTGTTTCGGTTTGGAGTGCTTTCGTTTATTTTTATCTTTTTGTACTTTCGGTAAGTCAAGTTTCCTTTCATAATTGTGCATAAACGCGGCGTCTCGTCTAGAAGTGACAATGATCGCATCTCGTTCCAAATGTTGTCTTCGTCATCCACTTTGTGGCCGCAATATAGCCTGACGGTTGAACGCGGTTTCCGGGACCTCTCCGAGGGTGATCTTCATCCGCATGGTGGCACTTTGTGTTACCGGGTGTTTATCGCTCTGTGTGATGTCCTGATGCAGTAACATTTTTTTTTTTTACTTACTCTCATTCGAAAGACGTGATTTGGAATCCTCTGATTAAAAAAAAAGTCTTCACCCTTTACAGGATGTTGGAGACTAGCATTTGCTGGCTGTCTGTGGTTGCATTAGGCAATTTTTGGTTAACATTGAACAGCTTGCCACTGCTTCCTGAACGCTACGACGCTTATACCGTTGTCTGAATACACTCAAAATAGCCCGATGACATATCGCCAGCTGCTGACTTGGAACCCATGTATTGCTGAATTATGAAAGTACGTTCATAATCCCTAAATATCCGGCTCTGGAATTCCGTAAATAATAATAAAAATTAGTCTACCTTGCAGTTTTTAATTTGTCTTTCTAGTTTATTTCTCCAAATTTTTTTTTTGGGGGGGGGGGGGGTGGGGGGGCCTTTTTTTATTTCTATTCCCCTGTAGGTTCCAGTGTTCAGGGTTCCTATGCCCTGCACCCGCCTAAAAGAAAAATGGTTTCAAAAGACAGTCTTCTCCTTCCCGACTTCCTCTTTTACAGCTGCGGGTGTCGAGGGATATTTAAGGTCCTGCTTCTTGCTCTTCTGGCCACTTCGACCAAAATCGCATCGTTTTGTTTCGGAGTTTCTCTGATGATATCTTTTAATCTTTTTCTTGGGCTACTTTGTGCTTTTCGCCATTTTCCTGGTGATTAGTGATTAGAAAGGATTATCATCACAGCACTCTGGACAGATCCATAGGTGCCTTGACCTCCTCCTCAAAAGCTCCACAAGTGTAAAACGACTGATGACGCCTGTTCTGTGTTGGTTAATGAAACATCTTGTCCTCTTAGTGAAATGTTCATTTTTTGCAGCTCCAGGCTGCACCCCCATATCTATCAGTCTAGACAGGGATATGGAGTCACGTCCTTTGGCGTGCACCTCGGTACGGTAAATGCAGCGCATAGCATTGATAACATCACTTTTGTACAGTACTGGTCCAGCCATAACAACTGCAACCGCTTTTCCTCTTTTGGTGTATGCTTTGTATGGCAGGGCATCATAAGATATTCTAAGTGGGCACACCGTTTGACTTGCTGTCTTTGTATGTCATTTGGAATTGCTTCTGTGCCTACGTTTTCTCTTATGACCTCATTCCTGATTTGTCTGATCTCTTCTGGTCACTCCTAGCATGGGTTGACAACAAGTTCAAGGTGAAGAAACCCCTAGCCTTTGTATGTTTCAATTGTATGTGTTTATTGGATGACGCTGTGCCATGCCTTGCTGTGCGCTTGTTTGGTTCAACATCGGTGTCTCCTGCTTTTGCCTTGGCGTAAGGCTGTTACTACTGATAGAACGATATCATCAAAGGAAGTTCTCAACCTCCCAGATGCTAAAAATTGAAAGAGGATGCGGAGAAGGAGGGGTTTATGAGGAGGATGAGGATAAGAAGAAGAAGAGGAAGAAGAAGAAGAAGAAGAAGAAGAAGAAGAAGAAGAAGAAGAAGAAGAAGAAGAAAGAAGAAGAAGAAGAAGAAGAAGAAGGAGAAGAAGAAGAAAGAGCAGGAGGAGAAGACGAAACAGAAGAAGAAGTAGTAGCAGCAGCAGCAGCAGCAGTAGTAGTAGTAGTAGTAGTAGTAGTAGTAGTAGTAGTAGTAGTAGTAGTAGTAGTAGTAGTAGTAGTAGTAGTATAGGTAGTAGTAGTAGTAGTAGTAGTAGTAGTAGTAGTAGTAGTAGTAGTAGTTGTTGTTGTTGTTGTAGTTAGTAGTAGTAGTAGTAGTAGTAGTAGTAGTAGTAGTAGTAGTAGTAGTAGTAGTAGTAGTAGTAGTAGTAGTAGTAGTAGTAGTAGTAGTAGTAATAGTAGTAGTAGGAGATGGACAAACAATCTAATGTTTCATTACTTCTATTGACAGGAACCTGTTATGTGCAAGTCCATAGACAAACAAATTCTCGACGCGGCTCCAAAAGCTGAAATGTTTGACCTCCTTCACCTCATGCCTGAAGGCAAAGTGATGATCATGGCAGAACTCGACCTCCTCCTGACTCTTCAACAGTACAAGAATCTTTACACAACACCAAACGCTTACCGCCAAAAAAGAAAAGCCGTTCGCGATACAGACACTAGATGGACCAACTGTAGAGTGTACTACGAAATCACACAAGCCATAAACACAACGAATAATAGAGCTGTCATTAAAGAGGCTATCGAAGAGTGGGAGAAATATACTTGTCTGGAGTTCATAGAATGTGCAGAAAAGCCTCAACGCATACAGTTTATGGATGGCGGAGGGTGTTATTCTCAACTGGGTATGCAGACAGAACCTCAGGTTCTTGTTCTAGCCCCAGGCTGTCGGAAGAAAGGCATCGTTGTTCATGAGATTGGTCATGCTGTCGGTTGGTACCACGAACATATGCGGCCGGACCGTGACGACTTTGTGGCAATTAATTTGAACGTCGTTCCCGATCTTTACCACCCTAACTTTATTAAATATAACAACAGCGTCGTCAACACGTACGATATCCCTTATGATTATACCAGTGTTATGCATTATGGAAACGAGGCTCTTCCGGGTTCCCTCACAACATTGGACCCTTCGTATCAAACAAGGATTGGCCAACGTCAAGGGTTATCGTTCAAGGACATTAAACTAGCGAATATAATGTACAACTGTTCAGGATTGGGGTGCAAACTTAAAACCTGTAGTCACAATGGCTTTGTTCTCTTTAAAGAACACAAGGGTGAAAAAAAATGTTCTTGCTGGTGTGATTCAGGAAACGTGGACGATCCTTTGGTTCTTTGTTCTTCCATTGACAAAGAACCAGCTCAGCCGAAACCTGTACCCACCCAGCTTCCAGCCACAAAACCATGCCGTGATGTACGCAATGATTGTAATGATCTTAAACTGCAAGATGCTGACGTCTGCATGACAAAAACAAAGCTCATGATGGCATCTTGTGCCAAGACGTGCGACTTTTGTGGGAAGGGAGAGAACATGTGCATGGACTACGAAAAGGGCTGTCCTCTTCTGGCTGCTTCTGCAGCTTGCAAGGACCCAGCGCTGGAGAGAGTTATGAGCATGCTCTGTCCTGCATCGTGTGGCGTGTGTAAACCAACAAACCCTTGCAATATTCAACAGGAACTGATGGGATCGCCCCAAGGTAGAAACGAGGCAGTGAAGGTCATCTCTTCGAGGTTGTTTATGCACACATTCGTGCTTGTTGGTTTAAGTCTAACAGTACGTTAAGTTTACGTATAATTAACAAATAGACAATTTATTGGTCGGCGCCCATATAAAAAAGTAAAAATATAGAAGAACTGATTACATACATCCTTACGTCCTTTGTAGGACGTAATTTTTTTTTTTATTTGAAGCCCCACTCTGGCTTTTGCCAGGGGCCGCAATATAAGCAGGCCATCAATATGGCCAAATGTCTGAACGCGGTTTCTGGGACCTCTCCACGGTGATCCTCATCCACATGGTGGCACTTTGTGTCATCGGTTGTTTATCGCTTGTGTGATGTCCTAGTGGGGTAGAAAGTCAGTCAGTCAGTCAGAAGAACTGATAGGATCGTCCCAAGGACGAAACAATGCAGTGGGGGTAGTCTTGTCGAGGTTGTTTATGCACTACTTCGTGCTGGTTGGTTTAAGTCTAGTAGTTCCTTAAGATTACATGTAATTTTTTTTTTTTAAACAGACAATGTGTTGATTAGCACCTATCAAAGAATTAAAAATGATAAAAGGACGTTGATAGGATCGCCCCTCAAGGCAGAAAAAAGTTTCCTAATTTTCTACTTTTTTTTATGAGTGCCCATCAATGCATTGTCTGGTAGTTTATATATATATATATATAGTGTTTCAAATAACATAACTTCTTGAATTTAAAGAAAACGAACATAATGTCCTCAGATAAATCTGGCTGCCACCCAAAATTACAATATATGATGAAGAAATTGAAAATGTCACAAACTTTGAATATCTAGGCTCTATTATAAACAACAATGGAGACTGTTCGGCAGAAATTAAAAAGAGGATGGCCTTGGCAATGCAAAGATTGAACAGTCTTAAAAGTCTATGATTAAGCACCAGCAAAGAGATTTTTAAAAAATTAGAATTTAGAGAGCATGCATCTTCCCTGTGGCTACATACGCATGTGAGTCGTGGACCATCTCTCGGTATAGAGAATAGGGGCTTTTGAGCTGAAATGCTATAGAAAGATTCTCAGAATATCTTGGACAAAGAAGAGGAGAAATATTGACATCTTAAAAGATCTGAACATCGAGGAAGAATGGCAAATAAATAGCATCTTTCTCGGAAGCTGAAATATTTTGGTCATATCAAGTGCCACGACGGATTGGAAAAAATAATAGCAGAAGGCATGGTACCTGGAAGGACCGACCGACACGAAGATGGACACAGGATATAAGTGACTTCTTGAGTATGAAAGTACATAAGGCGGAAGAGCTGGCGTGAGACCGAGTTTCTTCCAGGCAGACCGTGATGAGAGCGACGTTCTGCAAAGGACCTGCTACATGATGAATAACATAACAATCGAAAATGAAGAAATAGAAAATGTAACAGATTTCGAATGCTTGGGCTCTGTAGTGAACAACAATGGCGACTGCTCGAAAGAAGTCAGAAGAAGACTTGCATTAGCAATGCAGTAATTAAACATAATGAAAAACCTATGACAAAGCACTTGTAAATTGGTTAAAGTAAAAATCTTGAGATCATGCATTTTTCCTGTGGCAACTTACGGTTGTGAGTCCTGAACTCTCACTCAGTCACTGAGGAAAAAGATTGGACCTTTGGAATTGAAATGTTATAGAAAATTCTTAGAATTCTATGGATCGAGAAAATGAAAAACATTGACTTTATAAACGAGTTGAAAGGAGAACTGCCTCATAAACAACATCCTGTCCCGAAAGTTGAAGTAGTTTGGCCACATCAAGCGTCATCGTGGCTTGGAAAACACGGCGATGGAAGGTGCAATTTTGGGAAGGCGAGGCAGGGGTCGACCACCGCGAAGATGGATACAGGACATTGAAGATATACTGGCATTGAAAGCACATGGAGCCAGAGAGCTGGCGAGGGAAAGAGATACTTTCAGGCAAGCCATGAAGAAAGCGACGTTCTGTTAAGAACTTGCTATTGTTATTTTATTTTTAATTTAAAAAAAAATGAAGACAAGATTTTAAAATCTGATCTCAATGTGTCATTAAACAAAACAAAACAAAAAACAAAAAAGATCGGGGGCGGGGTGGGGGGGGGGGGGGTCAGTATCAGTAGTTCTGGTAATTATTCCCTTCTCTATTCTACTGCCATACGCATGCGCCTCGCTTGGAATGCTGATCGTAGGTTGCTACTGACGCTTGAATACTTTACGACAGGTTGACTTGATTCTAGATTGATTAGGTTAGTTGCGTATCCTTTACAGGACGTTGCAGAACCAACCCCAACAGCCTCTGGCTCTTTGTGGTTTTTCTAGGCAAATTTACGTCCAGTAGTTTGTCATTGCTCCTGGACTATCGGCTTTCTTGATACCACTGTCGAAACCAACGCACGGCACATGGCCCGCAGCTGGGATCGAACCCGGCATTCCGGCATTACGAAGCGTTACTAGATTGATTATTCGATTTTAGTGTATGTTATACTTTGTACTTAATTAATTAAACAGATTTACAATGCTTTTTTTTTTTTTTAGTTTAAAATGTTTAAAATAATTTTTATGCGGACTGATCCTCGTGTGGTCCCCGAATAAAACAGACACACGGCCCACTGAAAAAAATCCATGTCGTAGAAGCGACTTTGCTGAAATCGGATGTGTTGACCAAAATGTTCACATATCGCAGTCTAGCTGTAAACCGCAACACAACGTGTCAATCGCCTTTTAAGCGCGATCACATAATAAGAAGAATGCAGTGTCCAGCTGTGAACCTCCTTTGGATCTTTTCTCCAGGATATACGAGTCGATCGGTAATCAAACAGCCAAACATTTAGGCTTTTTCTGCATCTGTTGAGGGTTAATTGATACGTGATGTGACGAACGTTAAGGCCCTTTGAGAAGCATGTGAGCATGCGTGGAACCCGACAGCCACTGTCTGAAGAGAATGATGACACGCAGAATAACCAACGGATCTGGCTGAACACTCAGAAGCAAAGAACTATTAGACTGCCCAAGACAACATAGCTCGTTTGAATTGTCTTCAAGATACTTCGACGTCAACACAAATTCGTCAATTAAACAGTTAACCTAAGATCTGAACAAGGAAAGCAAAAACAACAGATTGCAGAATTAAATGTCTGGTATGTATCGCTGTATCTCATCAGGTGCATATCATAGTGAGAATTTATTAAAATGAAGCAAATAAGTGAATCCTTCGAGCTGAAACACAAAATCGACTACATAAAAAAAAATGTCTATTTTACAGGGGTAAACGCAAAGTGTAGAGCATGCCCTTTTGTCTGCATAATTCTGGACTGAACAGGTTCATAGTGGTCGCTTACACAAATGTCAGTATTCTTTGGTTGGCTGAATTGTACATAATTTGAAATGCATCTTCCTTGTTTCCAATGTGCCCCGAATTCAAAATATGACAAGCAAGGGCTGAGGGCGGATTTTTTCGACCAGTCACATGATTCGTTGTTGTTGATGTTTTGCATTGCTTTTACCACCCATGGTGGAATACGTTCAGCAACCCTTTTCTCCAGTCGTTGATCAGTCCTGTCAACATAAGCAGAGTTGTTTTGATAACCTAAGATCGATCCGCGCTGCTACCTCAAAGTTTACCATACGATCCTAAGATTTAGAAATCTCAATCTGGACAATAAACAAACAAGGCAAATACAAGATATCCGTTAAACCTCTGAATGTTGTTATAATTAGGGCACCTGTAACGGCTGAACCAGCCAGGTATGACTGGAGGCCTGTGCTGGTAAGGGCCGGAACTAACCCAAGATATAAACATAATTGTAAACGTCATCGTGATCAATTGCAGCAAATCAGGTTCCACGCTTGATTGGAATATATATGAAATTTAAATTAGGACCTATAATGAATTAATAAACAAGCCGAACAATATCTTGAGACCTCGAAGATATGGTTTTACACAAGAAGAATCCTTAGAGTTTCTTTGACAGCTAAGAAAGCAACCCAGATGTTTTGAAAGAGGCACTTGCGCGAAGACAACTTATCACAAACATCATGAAGAGACAGTCATCATTTTGTGGCCATATTATGAGAAGAGGGACACTGGAACATGTTGTGACCACTAGGAAGATTTGTGGAAAGAGAGACAGGGAAAGACAGCTCGAGAAGATTCTTGACAGACTTTTGTCATGGCATGGAGGGGTGTCAACACAGAAACTGACACAAGCTGTTGCGGATCGCCCACGCCAGTTGGCATTAACTTATTTTCCTTCACTTTTTCGTATATTCATAATGAACACGAAGTATTATATTTTGCTTTATTATTATTTGTTTTGTAAGCATTTATCCCATTTCGTTTGTTTTAAATCAATAGACGCACGAATTGTATATGTGCACTTCTTTTATATAGAGACACACAAAAAATGTAAACTTGACTAATTGTTGTTTTTTACTCTATGATGCATTTGTTCCTAATCTTTTTCCTGTATTTCTCTTTACATCTCTAAAGTAGCCATGATACAAAGGGCGTTGAAACCTGGGAGCTCATACATTTTGGGACCCCCCCCCCCCCCCCCAACACGATCCAGTAATATCTAGAGCGTCTAGCCCCTCCGCCACGGCGACTACCCTGTTCATCCCTTTTGTGACATGCTGTGGTGGTTACTAAACAACTACTGTCAGTTGTATCTGGACTGACAGGTGGCGACCACTATGCGATTACTGAAGAAGAAGAAGAAGAAGAAGAAGAAGAAGAAGAAGAAGAAGAAGAAGAAGAAGAAGAACGACAACAACAACAACAACTAACAACAACAACAACAAGAAAAAGAAGAAGAAGGATGAGGAGGGGGGGGGGTGGGTATCATCACAATTCACATCGGTGTACTTTGGTGTAGGAAACACCTCAACCCAACAAGGGCGTAACTTTTGTTGCATTTATTCCGAGGTACTTCATGGTCAAACAGCGAAGTTCACAGGAAATGGCTTGTTATGTCTACTGTAAACCGCGTATTATGCTAAATTCGGAGCTCAGACATTCAGGTCTGTTAGAATTAGTTTGGAAGAGGGTGGACAGACCCACTGTCAATTAACAAGCAGGC